GAACTTTGATATTTTTTCTGATGTCCTTCCCGCGTGAAGGTAGTCGAAAAAAACCAATAAGCGAGTAAACATGTGTTAGTTCAGGTGATATGCAGATCTAGGCGTCCGGGAATGGTACGACTGCAACACGGGAGATCGAGCGTATAAATAATGGAGATTTCAAAAGCCGCAACAAAAAATAGCGAGTGAGCCATGTCAGGATCACGGCTCTATTCGGGTCAAATACATACCTCGTACAGGCACAGCGACCGCCAACAAAAGCGACGATTCCGCTGAAAAACGCGATGCAGTGACCCTTTTCGCTTGCTCCAACGCCTGTAAAATACGATCTTACAGTCACTCGACGTTCACGGGCACGTCGCGTCGGCATGGCTGAGATTAATTTGTCGATAATTAATTTCCCGGCGTTATTAACCTCACGACAATGGATTAACCTAACCTAACTAACTGTCGCGCATAACGAGAAGTCATGAAAGCAAAGTGGAAAAAATATTGTTACGACGTGTTTATCTACCGAACGACGTGAACGATCCTGATAAAAAGAGGTTTACGTGCCAAACGCTTTACGAGCGCTGCATGACCATTCGCACGGCGTAAGAAAAAAAAAAAAGAAAGAAAAAGACATAATTCAGAGTGTTGACGCGTAGATAAAAGAAAGTCTCGCAATTTTAACCTTTCCTTCCTTAATTCATTCCTTTTTAGTCTCGCTAGAATCTCCATCCGAGTTATAGCCGTTTCGCACGTGCTACCACGTTATACCCGCCGCTCGGCTGTAATAATTAAGCAATATTCATCCAATTTCCAGAGTTATTCCAACCGTGAGATGTTTCAACTTTTAAAACGTAACGTACGTTATTCTTGCTTACGACGCTTTTATGCCAGCGCCTCTTCAAACAACGATTTAGATCGTTAGCGAAATTTGTACCAACGGCGAATTTACGACTTACGTGTTGTTCTCGCGAACGCACAATCCTGCTGGATCGATGCCGGTTTAATCTATTTTACAACACTCAGCAAACACATTTGTTACTCTTCAACAAATTATACTCGGAGATAAAGCACAGCTATTTACGAGTTTTCGGCCGAATGAGTCGGGAATAAAGCGGCCGCAGCCGCCCTCTATCAAATGCACTCTACAATAATGAACATAACTGCCTTGACTGCCGTCGATAGCAGTCGGTAACGTAAAAAGTTTAACGAAATATAAGGATTATCGTTGCGATAGTCATCGTAGAATCAACACGTTAATAATAAAACGTGATAAAACAAAAGCATAGTATGGCAACAGCTTTGTATTATTGTATTATGTATAAAAGAAATGAAACAAATGAGTGAAAAATTAACAGAAATAAACTATACGTAACAAATACAAACGTATTCACACGTCCGCTCTTTGCGACACGATTTGCTTTGCATCATGTAGGTGAAAATACAATTTGCTTGAGATCTACGCATTTATTGGTTAAAAATTCATTGACAATAATCAGAGTCTATTAAAGATGTAAGAAACAAGCTGGCACAACAATGCTTTCAGTTTTACTTTTTCACGATGGAGCGCTTTCTATATATCAAATGAGATTTTTTCATTTATATGTACCAATCTGCAGTCTGCACAGAGTCTTTACATCATAATATAAGCACATGTAACGTGATAAAAAAAGTTACAAAAATATAAGATTTAATTGTATATGGGAATTTCAGAGCAACATCAACCAATTGTCTCCCTTAAAATTTAACACGCTTCCTACGTTCTATTTTCCACATGTTAAAATATTTGTTTGACACAGGATAAAAATAAATAATACGCGCTTAAAAATAAATTGATGTAATCATTATAATATTATCCTAAAGAATCGTGTATAGCATTAACAAAGAAAAAAAAAAAAAGAAAAAAGAAAGAAAAATGTCCGAAGCATTTGACGTGGTGTTATGTAAATGATAAACTACATAACAATTTATAAAGCGTATTTAAAGAATCGTTAAAGAAGAAAAGATATATGTCGCTATATAATACAATATTCAATGCAGTATGTTTAGTACAATCAATTCGTATTAATGTACATTCGCTATGTTTAACTTGGCGATTTAATTCTGCACGCGAAAACAAAACGCATGAGCTGTTTTGTGAATTCTGATAACTTTTAAGCTAACTTAATGAAACCATCCTGAGAATAACACTAAAATGTTAAGAATATCATTTTAATACTCGTTATATCCCGTCATTAATCTGAATAAAATAATAGATTGATCTTCCTAAATTCTCTCTCTCTCTCCCTCTTTCTCTCTCTCTCTCTCTCTCTCTCTCAAACGTTCATACATTTTTCTCCCTCGTCAGGGAGTCTCACGATTGTTGAAGAAAGTAGCTCCAAAAATAGCCGCTCGAAACGCATATAGCGCCTACCATAGGTTTTATATAAACATTACCGGGTAACAAAATAAGCGTTTTATACTAACAATTATCAATAAAATTAACAGCATAGAAATTCCATGGTAAATGTAAACGATATTCAGCATAGTGAAAGATCTGATAAAACGCTTCTTGACACGGATTAAGACACTGACTTATAGCGATGAACGATATATTAATCTATAATCACATAGCTTTTGAAGGCAGTACCGACGACTCTCCGCTGTAAAAACCGATCGCTTCCTCTACCGTGAATACGAAAAGGATTGTAAGTGTGAGCAGGAACTCGGTGGTTATAACAACGCGTTAGTTGTCATAGATATGCTCAGGAAGGATCATTCAGCGACAAGTTAAAGAAGGATTCCTCGCGAAACATCCGATGCTAGAAGGTATATATCGTATTCTCTTTGGTGCTTATCTCTATTCGCGCTCGTGTCTCATCTCTCGTCGGCTTTAACAGTTTTACAGAAGAGAATTTCTGTGCCCTCCAAAGCGTAATTATTTATGTCGTATTTCTATATCGAGAGAACGGCTATCGAAACGGTGTCACTATTATTAAGTAAATTGGTAAAATGTATAAACGATTGTTGATGTTTCCCAGATGATTCTATGTCGTGGGCCCAACTCCGTCGTGCGTACCTCCCTAATTGCTTTCTTAAACGCTGAAATCTACAAGTGCGTACTCTTGACGGAAAGCGACCTTTTTGTTACATTTATTATTATTATTATTCTACATATGCTATTGGTAGTCTGTCTCTTGTTCGCAAATGTTTTGCTTCATTCGCACTTACGCACAAGCACACAAATACGAACATTGTCACACTCACGCAAAATATCCTTACAAGTATGTTACATTCACTTTGCACATTTGCTCTCAGAGGTCTCAGGAATACTTATTCACGAGTAACGCTATATAACTGTAATAATTTAAAGAAATGTATTAAAGATTCGCGGAGCCATAGCAAGAGGTAGGACGACAATTGTGGATCGTACCTTCGATATGAACTAGTGATAATTGAACTAACAATGCACACTGATCACACAAGTAATAAATCGTTGTCCGGTTTTTCTATATATATTTTACATGTAAGTAGTAGTGTTACGTCTATATCGACGAGTAGCATAAAATAGGCTAAATAGCATGTTTTGTAATCGCTACGATAATACATAAAGGTTGTTTAAAAAGATAAATGAACACATCTAACAGACTGCTGTTAAATATAGCGCGCATTTGGTTGATACCAATGGCTATGTCATAATTTTATTATATTTACAAACGCGATAAAAGATTCAAATCGATTCTTTTCTTTTTTTTTTTTCTTCAAATACAAAGTTATACCGCAATCACAAAACATGCCCATTCTCTATAATAGGTATATATTTCTTACAAATTGAAATAATCGATTCGAACGGTAATTTGCATTGTGTATGGTATCGTTTAAAACCCATATCGACACACAAATTTCAGCAATCTTTTTTTCTGCTTATACCGCGCGAGTATCCGATCATATTTCGATAACAATGATATATTATCATAAAAATTATTTATTGAAATTACGGAGAATCTAAACCTAAGTAAACCTAGATCTAACTCTCGTTAATTGAAAAATGCTGAAGCGTTGACCGAAAAAAATATATAAAGACTACAATAAAACTACTCTGCAACATAACCATCACGATATACTTGATCATATACTTGAAAACTGTATGTTACCAAGAAAAGCAAACAATTTTATCTACTAATTGTAATAAGTACCGATTAATTACACGATTATTCTACGACTTGATTTAATGTGTGTAAATGTTTCCAGGTCATGCATCGTAGAAAAGCGTAATAATTTTTAATTAATACCGAGTATACAAAAGAAGATCAATATTAATCTACAAAAGAACGTCGAAAAAATTTCGGTACGCGTAAATTATTCATTAACAAAATTTACATCATAAAAAAGAAATATAATAGTGGCTATAATAATTATCAGTTAGCAGAGCATTGGTCAAGACGCACGAAGAAGGTGATTCCATATTTGCGATGCATTACTAACAAAACTATCACTACTGTCCGTATTGATATCCATATCTGCTGTCATCTTTTTGTTTTCAACTATGCGCCGCGATTATTAGTAAAACTGCGTAACCATTTATTGTACATTCTTTGCGTATGAATTATCATTTTATAAGTCTCCCTTTTGTTCTCTTTCCTTTCTTTCTGTATAACTCACTGAAATCTGTTTTAACTGGAATGCGTACTGGGCAATTTCGACCAACAAAAAAAAAAAAAAATAACGGCTATAATTATCGTTGTCCTTGATTCCTATAAAATAACTGATGTGGATAAGATCAAGTAAACGTGTGATAATATTGATAATATTTACAATACATGCGAACTTTTTACAAATACTTTGAAACACTAAAGTATCATATTATCGAAACTTCTCAGAATATATTAAAAACTTATGAATACTTCGCACTCCCAACAGTACCCAACTCGTATCTAACTCGTAACTATTTATTTAAAAAAGATTAAATTTGTTTTAGGAGAGTATATATGTATATATAAATATAAGTATATAATTTAATATAAATATATACATATATATATGTTACGCTTGAAGGTACTCATAAAGATTTCAAATCCTTCTCAGAAAATTATAATTTTGCGGTTTAATGATGCGACGTAATTGTACGATGTAATTATGACAATACGTATTACGACAATAATTACGAAGGTTGTAATTATACATTATACGACTGTAACTTTGCAAAGTATTCATGGAAAATCCAAATGTACTGCGAATAATACCAATACTACTCATAATGTGCTTGACTTCACCTATAACGCATTCCCGTTAAGATATACTGGCTAAAATGTGTCTTCGAAATATAACCATTCAAAATCATTTGCAATGCAGTAATTCTTCCCGCCGCCAAATTTGCACGTGAAGGATAAGATAAAGGTAAAGTAAAAAGTAAAGGGAGTGGCTAAAGGTCGAACACCAACAGGATATCAGTGATCTGATAAGGGCAATACGACCCGACTAGCTTTACTGTTCTAGTCGAACGACAGCTCATAATCAGACCAATCGGAATCGTCCGAATCAGAGAAGAATGGAATTTCTTCTAAATCGAGGTACATCCAGCGATCGTCTCTTTCTTCGAGGAAATCCCATAGGATTAATTGCTGTAAATTTTATATAGAATTATTCTCACCCGCTATATACCACCATTATGTGTACGAATATGCATATATATTGTATATGCACGAGTGCTACGTATATCGCACGGTGAAAGTACTCCACTACTCGATTCAGAAAGTATGTCGTTGGCTTCGGCAAAATTTCACGTGAATGGCACATTTATTCGCGTGTAAAATACATGTATGTACATATATAGCATATGTATTACATACACATATGTATATATACATATATATAAAAATGAACAACTTACGTGTAAGAAATCGATATCATAATCAGCATGGCGTCTTCGCGGTGGACCAACGTCTTTCTTGGTACCATCGGGAAGTGCGTGCAGGTAGAAGCACTTATTACCAAATGGACACTTGCCACGACCTTTATTGAAATACTTGCAATCCTTAGTACTGTGAAAAACATTTATGAGAGAGACACCAGGATAACAACATACTTGTTGCTTGTAATAAAAACGGCTATTTGTTATACCTCAAGGCGCCTTTATAATCCCTTATTAACTTTTCCTTCTCCTCCTTCGTGTCCACCCAGTACATACTGGGACAGACAAAATCTGATGGAACACGACACTCTGGACATGCTCTTATGATCTTGTTGTCAAATTGCTTTGCCTGCCGCCATTTTCTGATACAAGTTAAACAAAAGCAGTGATTACAATTCGGCAGAATACCGAACCTCTGCTCTCGTGATGATTTCTCCATTATTGTTTCAAAGCATACACCACAAGACTTCTCTTTGCTGCGTTGTATGGCAAAGGATAATTCCATGTCTGCTTCATGTTGTTTCACACATGCCTGAGTCATAATATATGAAATAGCATTTTTTCTCTTAGGTTTGCAAAATATCCAAATTATCAACTTAGGTTAGCAACTTACATTGAATAATAATGTGATAGACCCAATTTACTCGCTTAAACGATAATTCTTGTTCCTCTAAAAATTTAACACAATCGAGCAAGTTAATGGGACTTACATTTGTATGTTTTTTTTGCTGCTCTTCATTATGTGGATGGAGAGCCGCACGATTACACAATTCACAAATATCGCCATGAAGATATGTGCAGTTTAATTTTTTGCAGATTCCGGTTGCTTCGGCGTACGGACACAAAGGTTCTAAAGCAGGACTCGAGGCTTGACCAGATGGATTAACAGCTTGAGCATATGATGTTGGTTTCAACGTGCCTGTAGATGTTCCCGAAGTAGACACTTCATCTGTAGAAGAGGATGACCCAGCAATGGGAGGCACAACTGTAGGTATAAACTCGGGTGCTTTCACCCATTCTTCAGCAGCACATTTGTCGTTATTCCTGCAAATAAATAAAGCAGAAATCACACTTAAATTCAACGTGGCCAAGTGTTGCAAGATTTAAATGTATTATAATGTTTACTGGCATCGAGAACACTATAAAAATAATAGTAAAGTATCAATAACTATAATGCATATTACAAAAAAGAATATACATTTGTATTTACCCCTTCTTTGAAGAGCTTGCAGTATGCTGACCTGAGGCAGGATTTTCTATTGCATCACTTTGTTTGGCATTACTATCGGAGTTGCTTGCACTATGTCGAAAGTGACACTGATTTCCGAACCTACATATTCCTTGCTTAAAGAAGCGACATGTAACATTGAAGATTGGTCCGGACGATGTTGTCTCTGCGTTATTGACATCTGCATCATCTCTGGTCCCTTGTACGTGCCGGAATCGACAGTTGTTACCCTCGCGACAAACGCCGTTCTTGAAATATCTGAGATGAGACCGTGTTGGTTATTGCAACGCGACAATACAGAACAGCGAGTTATTAATGTTGTGCATATTTATAAAACGAGAGATAAGCCGAAAACGTAAAATTCAAAGTCCTTGTCAACAGTTTTCATAACAACATCGATTGACATCCCAAGTCATCAATAATATTTACATTGTTGTATTCATCTAACAGCCCCCTAGACTGCAGTTGTTCAACACATGTACGCGATTAACAAGTACGAGTTAACCTCTCGGCAATGACACGAAAAATGACCGAATCACGACGTCTGGTCGAAATTTGCCAATGAGATTAACAAGAACGCGGTCGGTCCGTTATATTCCCTTACCGGCAAGCAACACTGTTAATCCAACTGTCGGCCATTTTCTTCGATCTCTTCTCCGTCCGTAACGATGATCAACGACGCGTCGTCCTCGTCCTCGAGAGGAGGGTCGCGCGTGCGTTCGCCGCGAGAATGGAAACAGCTATGCGTTACGAGCGACTAAACTCCGGAATCACGAGCAAACACGGCACGATCCGGTCACGACCCGGAAAGTGCGGTATTCCTTCACCAACACCCCCGTACAGAATGACAAGGCACGCTCGACAACACGCAGTAAACACCTCGCAAGAGACGTGTGTATTGCCGCACGCATTCACGTCGCGTGCGCACCCGTTTTTTTTCGACTCGTCTCTCTCTCTCTCTCTCTCTCTCTCTCTCTCTTTCTCTCTCTCTCTCTCAGCAAGCCTTGTTCTGCTTGCAACGCGTGGTATAATCTTGGCTCGATCGCTTCCTCACTGCAACGCAACGTCACGTACCGCCACTCAGTGCCGTGGTTCAACTGTTTAACTGTTGTCCGATAGTACTACTGTTACTATACTTCTTCGTCGTCTTCTTCTTATTCTTCTTCTTCTTCGTCTTCGTCTTTTCTTCTTCTTCTTCTTCTCCTTCTCCTCCTCCTCCTCCTCCTCCTCCTCCTCTTCTTCCTCCCCTTCTTTTTTGTTTAGTGTATGAGAATCGCGTGTTGTCCTTGTCACCTCCTCTTATTGTGTGTTGCCTTGTTATGTTTACTTCTGTCACCTCTATCACTTTTCAGTTTTCATGTTTATTCCTTAAATTCACTCGAATTGACGAATGATGCGTCCTTGGCTGTCAGCTTTTCGGCGACGCTTACCATGTAAACCTTGCTTGCTGCTAGCAAAGGCAGCGACATATAATTCGGAATATTTCCTTCTTCCTTATTCGGTTATTCGTTAAAATTGTACGACGCTGTGCTCGATCATTACCTGTACGAACATTAACCCGAGCCAGACTGTCTACTACCTATATCGTGACAGATGCTCGACTTTGTTGAATTGCTCTGTATCACTCTGTTATGTCCTCCAGGATGCCTTCTCAACTTCGCAGGAGATTAGTCACGAATTTTCACTGTAATCACACTGCAACACCGAGAAGCGATGAATACGATCACATTGTTTACAAACGGAACGACTCTCACTCAAATATCTCTTCGGGGTGAAACGCCAGCCACTTTTGCCACGAAGCAAATCACCAATACAAAAGGCACCAAATGCTTAAACATGCGGTCATTGAACTCGCCTGCCGTCCTTACCTTGTCTTCTTCTCTCGGAACACTTACGTTCCGTAAGCAAATCTCAAGTTTAGGCGGGCCCATGATGTCGCGGGCACAAGTTACGGCCCTGAAATCGCGAACGTTTGTAAATACTAGGGATTATTGTGAAACATCGTAAAACTTAAGGTGCGGTTCAGTGACCGCTACAAGTGTTGTAGCGGCTGGACAGCACCCTTAAGCGTCGTCTATGGGCAATGGCAGTAATGCCATTGCCCATTTCTACCAACCTCGCTTAACTTAATCGGTTGGTTATTCCAACGGAATTGACCAATCGCATTTGTCGTCAATTAGAATTGTTAAATGCAATTGGTCCATTCCGATGGAATAACCGGTCGGTTAAATTAACCACGGTTGGTAAAAACGGCCATAAGCAGTAAGAAGCATAGATACACCCCTAAACGGTCGTCCAATAGTGACACACCAATCGCTGCCAATGATAACTTTCCATCACGCTCGCTCCGTTTGAATTATATATTTTCTTCCACGTGTCCTGCTGTTGTCGCCTCATGAACAAGAATAATATTGATCTAATTTCAGGGGAAGATCTCTGCCTGACGCTACTACACACGAGGAAGAAATAACGTCAGATGTCATGTGTCATTTATTTGCGAATATTGGGTTCTCTGTTCTTTGTAGCTGCACTGCTGAACTAGTGCGATAAAATGTTAAAATGAGAACAACTATATTTTTTCTCCTCACTCTAACTTATTACACTAGTTCAGCAATGCAGCTATAAAAAACAGATTATTTCGATGAGCTACACCGAAAATTTCCTAGCTAGAATCTGACAACTTCAAACCTCCCCTCGACAAGCCCTTCGTAGCCAATCAAGACACCGCACTCCATCTGCACAGAGAGTTCTTGTACTGCACTCACAACAGCTTCTCAGAATCACTAACCGAAAGGTTTCTAACCTTCTATCCCGCGCTTCTTTCTCTGCATAATAAAGGCTACTATACATGAAGCGAATTAAATGCTAAACATATAATGTGTGATCACCTGATTGTTACAATATCGTCTTATTATTTGGCGGAATATATCCGTGATGAATTTTTGTTGATTTTATGCAAGTTCTTATACACAGTACACATTTATGCAATTCTTTTGCGCTTGGATTATTTCATGTACAACAGTCTTAAGAATGTTCCGGTGAGAGCAGTGCGGGCGACCAAATTCGCTATATTAATGCAATCTCCTCAGTGAAGCGGTTTACCGCCCACGGTCGTCAGTATTTCGGAGCTGTTTATGAGTATACCTGCGTTGCTTCCATACGAATATCCTAAAGTGAACTGTCACTGGTGACGGGAATCTCCTGTTCCGAAATTTCAATAGTCACGCTCAGTTCCTTTTTTACATCTTCTCGCGGCCATCCCTGTGAGTGCATTTCAATGGGGTAATCAACAACGTCGCATCTGCCGCTACCTCTCTGAAGGGAGATAGGCATACGCTTGTGTTTTTATTATATTTATATCCGACAATTATGGACGCTAGATTCCACGGCGCACAGTCCATCTTTGACGCTTAGTTTTCGTTAAAGTCGAACTTGACGTTTCAACGACCGAAACAGCAGGTAGGTAAAGAGAACATGGCGATTCAACGATGCTCGTCATAACCTTGATATTCTTTATGCGCGAATCTGTTAATATCAAATCATGTATGACATATATTACCACCATATTATATAAAATACTCTTTTATTCTATTTACATATCATTTTGTATTTTATAGCATATCCTTCGTTGCCATTGTAAACAAAATATCATCCAAAATTTCCAAACCATTCACTGCTTAATTATAGATGTCATTCTCGTGTTTTTCAATGCAGCATATTAGTATATGTGAAAACGAGTTTATATATTTTCATATTAAAACTTGATGCATGATGTTTTATAATTAGTGCAATTTAACATGGATTCTGGATTTCTATACAGCACATTATACCTTTAAACTTTTATTATAAATTTAGCAAATATATATATATTTTTTAACCAAAAGTTACTTTATTGGATGTTATTTTGTTATTAAAACTAACCATGTTATATTTCTAGATATACGAGAAATAAATATAAGAATTAATATAAGTGACAATGGAGTCCAAGGAGAATTTAGTACCGGATGAAACCAATGTGTCTCAAAAGGAAATTGTAGATAATTCTGAAAATAAAGATGATGTTGAAAGCTGTATTGAAAAGGTCTTAGAGGAAAATGAAAAACTGGATAAATCACTGCTTGATAAAAATGCTACAGAAGAACTGAGTGATAAATTATGTACAGTATATGAAGAAACAACCACAACAGCTCTTGAAAAAGATTCTGTTCCATCAAATATAGAAACAAATGATCATACAACATGTTTAGAAGCCACAACAAATGTAGAAATAAATGATCACGCATCATGTTTGGAAGTGAGGACAAATGTGGAAACGATTGATCATGCAAGTTTAGAAACCACAACAACAGAAGACAATATTGGTGTTGAAAAGCCACTTTCTGAGGAAAATATTGAAATTATAACATCCCAAGAAAATAATACAACAGTAACTTCTTGTAAGGAAAGTACATCAGTTGCAGATGCAGATGAGGAAATAACAAAATTAACATCAAATTTGTCAGATTTAACAAAAGTATGTGACATAGAAAATTTGTCAAATGCTTCACATGAAGATGCAGATAATACAGCAAATGATTGTTTTAAGTCTTCCGAAAATAATGCTGCAAATATACCAGAAGCATCTCAAGAAAAAGAGAAAGATTGTGATATTCCAGATGAATTAAGTATTACCGAGGATGATGTGCAAATCCATGAGAATCATGCAATCCATGAGAAAGAACTTGATTCTTCCAAAAAATTGGAATCTGATTCTTCCGACAGTAATTTAGAACACCCTGACAAAGATTGTTTAATATCTGAAAAAAATATTGAGCCTGAAAATACAGAATTTGTACAAATTTCTCATGACAAACAGGATGACACCCAAATTGAAAACCAATCTATAGATGCAGAAGATCCATTTGGTGGTGATAATCTTGCTTCTGAAAATGTGGAGCAACTGGAAGCTGACAATCTGGCTGATGGTGAGGTTAGCTTTAAAAATATATATGAGCAAGATAATAATTTAGAGGATGTAGTAAATGCTAAAAATGATAATTCCAATGAGAAGCTTGATGTTAACTATACGTCAAATGATCCAAAGGATACTGCTGTCAACAAAGATATGGATGATACTGTTGAGACATCAACTAATATACAAAGTACTATTGATTCTCTTGTAAACACTTCAGTGGAAACTGACCTAACGAACGATAGTACATCCAAAACAGATGTAAGGAGTACATCACCTGTAAAATCACATAATCAGGATGAGCAAGTGAAAAAGAATATTGAAGAAGTTACATCTATGGAAACAGATGTGGATCAAACTGATGTGTTACCAGGGCAGGACGATGAATTATGTATTATTCCAGATAGTATGAAAGTTATAATACCAGATAAATCTGCAAAAGTAATAGAGAGTGAGCAAAGTGAACCTGTACTTGCACAGGACTCTAAACATGACGAAGTGTCACAAAAAAGTAGCAAGTCTGATTCTGATGTTGTAAAAGACACCGCGCAAGAAGAAATGAAATCAGTAGATGCAGAAAATACAAGCAGTAGTACAGAAAGTGCAATTACTATTGAAGATAAAGATACAGAGACAACAGAAAATGTAGTCAAAGCGACAGATGTTATTAACATTGACGACGAATCGAAAAATTCAGAAGAAATAGAGGAAATTACTTTCAAAGAGATGTGTAAACAATGCAACGAAGAAAAAATGTGTAAAATTCGGATGAAGATCGGCTCGGAAAGTTACAATGTATGCTCCAAAACGTGTAAGGCATTATTCAAGGCAGCAAATAACAAATCAATAGATATACCAAGTGGAAGTCAGCTTGAGGGTTCTTCTAAAAAAGAGAAGCGTTGCACAACTTGTCTATTAATTATAGAGTTAAATGATGAACGAAATCTTTCTTGGGAAACAATGGAATTCTGTAACGAAGATTGTCTGGGAAAGTTCCAAAGGAAATATGGAAGTTACTGTAAGAATTGCAATGGTTCTGTACAAGCTGTGAGTTTAGGAAAATATTGCGTAAGATTTGGATGCGATGTGAGGCAGTTTTGTTGCTCAACATGTTTAGAAGAATTCAAAAAAGGATTGAAAGTGTGCAGTTATTGTCAGAAAGACATAAGCCTTAGTACCGATGGTTTTCTCGCACCAGTTGGTGAGAAAGGGCAATTTAAGGATTTCTGTACTCAAGACTGTATGGAAAAATATTCAAAATTGAACTCTACAGAACCACCAGCTATGGAAAAAAAAGCCTGCAGTGTTTGTCAAGAGGTATGGTCATTGTGTATTATATTGTCTAATATTTCTCCGAATATATGTCGTAAATTGTTATCAGATATAACAAATTTTTCTTTACAGAAGAAAGTTGTACATTGTGAAGTCCAAATATATAATAGCTCGCCAGTGGCTATATGTAGTGACCCCTGTTTCGCTGCATTTAAATTTGTAAAACAAGTCAAACCCGAAAAATGTTCCACCTGCAAGAAATTTTTTGAATTACCGAATAAGCAAAATTTTGTTGTATTTTACGAGAATGAGCCACATACATTTTGTAATAAGACGTGCTTAAATATATTTATTATAACAAATAGAAAGATAGTACCATGTAATTGGTGTAAAGTAAAGAAATATAATTTCGACATGATTAAGAAGGAATTGAAAACGGGACAGATCCTGATGATGTGCAGCTTAAATTGTTTGACATTGTATCAGGTATAATACTCGTTACATACTCTTCTAGTATTAAATAAAATATAAATAACAAATATCTCTTATCCCCTCTCTCAGGTTTCCATTAATGCAGTGTCTGCGAAACGGATCAATTGTGACTTTTGTAAGGAATATTCTCTGGCGCATTATCATCTCACAATGTCGGACGCGACCATACGTAATTTTTGTTCGTATAATTGTGTGATGAACTTCCAAGCTCAGTACACAAAATCCCCGATAACTATACCGTCCAGTGACGACCCGGTGCCAACAGGCATGCCGAAGAGGACGATACCGCAGAAAATTACGTGTCAAACCGTTCCAAAGCCCAATGAAATACAGAATAAGAAAACCATGCCGGTAATCTCATCAGTAACGAGTCTGGCTACAATAGGAAACGGCCAGACGAGTCCTAATTCTCAGCAGAACAATATGGTCATGCCTGCGAGCACCATACCAAATCAAACACAGCCAGTCCTCTATAAGCAACAAATCATCACCAGACCGCCTAGCCCAGTGAAGATGCACAACAAGACAACTCAATGCAAGCCTATTGTCCACACGAAAGGAGTCTCTGTTCGTCCTCATCCTTGCACAAAATGGACGCAAACGAAAAACCCTCAACAGGTCGTGATACCCATACCGGTGCCGATCTACGTTCCGTTTCCTATGCACATGTACAGCATGCCTTTCCCAGTCCCGATGCCATTCCCACTTCCCATTCCCATACCCCTCTTTATACCTACTACGAGAAATAGTGCTAAAGGCATTATGAAGGACATAAAAAGAATACAGGAGAAGATACCATCCGACCCATACGAAGCTGAACTTCTGATGATGGCAGAAATGGTAGCTACTGAGAAGAAGGCCAATGACAGTGACTCCGATTCGGCTGATGACAGGTTCGATACTTTTATAGTTTGCTTGAATACAGAAGTATCGGTCAAATTCCATCGCGCTGTAATATAGTCGTATTCTTTTGATCTTACACACCAAAGGTATTATATTTTTGTTTTAGGGATGGTGACACAGCTGGTCAAGACAATTTACATAGTGATGGTTTCAGTCCGGAGGCAGTTGATTCCAGTAACACGTTCGGTGACGATATGTTGCAAATGGCGTTAAAAATGGCTACTGGAGAATTAGATGAACCTGCAGTTGATTTGGAGGCTGCATTAACGCCAAATACAATCACAGCTACGCAACCAACGTCACAATCAGAAGCCAGTATGGATAACGATGGTACGCGTGTAATTATATTAAACATATATCGCTTAAAATGAGTGCATACGCGTACATATATGCATCAATAATTAAATCAACGCCTATATAAAAGGAATTATTCTAATGATATGTTTTATTATACAGGTGGTTGATTATAAGTTGCCAACCCGAAATGTGAAGGTAGATTGCGTTAAGATAAACATAAAAGTCCTATACCGTTTTGCGAGATTCGCAATAATTATCGAGTTATTAATGACAGAAATCTGAGGAATGGGAGCGCGCCGACATAGATGATTGGAGAAGCGTTGCAGCTACTCAGGCCACAGCGCGGCCCACTCGACCTAGCAACTGTTGGCGGCGTGCGGCGAGACGTAGGTCCGGCGAGATAAAACAACGAATAGCAGCGTATTGTCTTTCCCCTCGCCGCGCACCGGCATCAGTTTCTGGATCAACTGAGCCGCGCTGCGGCCTAAGCAGCTGCAACGCTTTTCCAATTATTTGTGTCGACTCCCATTCCTCAGATTTCTGTCATTAATAACTCGATAATTATTGCGAATCTCACAAAACGGTATGGGACTCTTATGTTTATCTTAACCCAATTTACCTTCACATTTCGTGTTGGCAACTTATAATCAACCACCTTGTATATTTATGTTATATACACACACATATACATATGATGTGTATATGATGATAAACACATATCGATGAATTTGTGACGATGGATTTGTGATTTAAGTATCCTGCGGAGAAGTAAATATAGAATTGTTTAAAATAGGATACATACTTAATAGGTAAACACTTCTTTTCAGTACAATCGGAGCGGTTAATCGCTGCTTCTAGAGGAAGGAAACGTATGGTGCCATACAAACCACGATCAACATCTACTAAACGAGCCAGAAGGGTATCTAATACAAACGACATGCCATTAATGCCACCGCCGGAGCCACAACCACCTCCGCAACCGCGGATCATGGAGCCGATGGAAAAACCCGACGCTAATATGACATTGAAATATACATTTGGTGTAAATGCATGGAGACAATGGGTGAGTAATGTTGTTTTCATCTACATGTACATGTACACGAGGCAGAATGAGAATAGTCATGATCGTTTCTTGAAAAACTTGCTAGGTTATAGGGAAAAATGCCGAATTAGAAAAGCAGATTACGCCAATGAGGAAAATTAAATTGTTTAAAACCGATCTCCTGCAACTTACCGCGGATGAATTAAATTATTCTCTATGTCTTTTCGTAAAAGAAGTAAAAAAGCCGAGTGGCTCGGAATACGCCCCCGACACGATATATTATCTGTGTCTAGGTAAGTCAATTTCCATGAACAATAATGTGAATAAGTGTGAATAAATGATATGGCATCAAACGATAAGTATATTACTCATCATAAATATGTTACTCTCAAACGTGTGTATTTCATAAATTAAGATAATTGTAGATTGAAACAGTTTTTTTTATAATCCTTCTCTTTTTAGGAATACAACAGTACTTGTTTGAAAATAATAGAATTGATAATATATTCACGGATTCATATTATGAGAAGTTTACAGACTGTCTGAATGAAGTTGCGAAAAAGTTTTCTATGCTTTACAACGAAGCACGTAAGTACACCTTGTTATTTTCTTATCTTCCTTCCTCTTACCATATCGTTTGTTTTACAGAATATATTGTAACCAGAGTGGAGGAAGAACATTTGTGGGAATGCAAACAATTAGGTGCCCATTCCCCACATGTCTTGTTAAGCACACTTATGTTTTTCAATACGAAACATTTTAATCTTGTGGTAAGTTTATCTCCATCGGCTAGTGAAAATCATGTATCTCACTATCACTATATATTATTAACAAACATAATGGAACGTATTATTAACGAACAGACAGTAGAAGAACATATGCAACTTTCGTTTTCGCACATTATGAAACATTGGAAGCGCAATCCGGCAGCTCAGGCTAGTACAGCAGTAACAGGGAAAGCTCCGAGGAATGTTCTGCTAAGATTTTACCCACCACAATCGGCCCTTGGTACGTTTCCATTTACTAATTATACTTTACGAGAATTGTATTATCAGTAATACGATTCACATTGTGTTATTAATTATAGACTTTATTTTTTAAAGAAAACAATTCAAGGAAAAAGAAGGTGTACGAACAACAAGAAAATGAAGAGGATCCATTAAGATGTCCTGTTAAGCTATACGAATTCTATTTATCTAAATGGTACGTGCGTGTGTGTGTGTGTGTGTGTGTGCATATTAAGAATAATTCAGTACTGAAGTTGATTTAATTTCTCTTACTAAAGAAGATCCAAATTGACATGAAAGGTTTCAGATGTATTTACGAATGTTGAATTTTTTTTATTTTGTTGTTGATAACATGTACAAAACTTGTACTACATCAAGTTGACAAATTGTTTAATTATGAAATGTAAAATCGTTAAAAAATTTTAATCAGTCTTTGTTATATTACATTTACTGTCTCTTATATATTACATTAATTATGTTATTTGAAAATTATTACTACCTTCATCATTACTTTATATGAAATTTTTCAACTTAGATTATGTCACTTCGACTTCGATACGATATGCAATCTTATATTCTAAAATATTTCAGCCCTGAAAGCGTTAAAACTCGCAACGATGTCTTCTACTTATTGCCAGAACGCAGTTGCGTACCAGATAGCCCGGTATGGTACTCGACGTCACCACTCGCAAAGGAACAACTCATCAAAATGTTATATCGTATAAAAATGGTTAAAGAAATTAATGTAGCGTTACTTACAAGTTAATTTCACGTATTACATTGATCTCCTGTGTATTTGTTTAACGAATGAGCTGACTAGTTTTTAGTCAGAGATGAAACAATGATACAATACAAAAATATAGGGTTTAACAAGTTTTCCAATTTCTATTGTATATTTTTCACTTCCCAATAAAAGTAACTTTTATTGATCTGAAGTTTCCAATAATACATTAGGACTTTCTGTTCTTATATTTAATTAGATTTTGTATAAAAAAAATAATAGTTTCAAATCTGTTTTAGCGATTACTACAAATCTTACTTTTATTGTGTAATTTCCATTATATAATTATAAGATTTTAGGAAAACAAACAAACATCATATTGTACAAAGAAACAATTATATATATTTTCATCTTATGTAAATTAAGAATTGCTGTACATAATCAGCAATTTAAGCAGTTTTCTGCGGGCGTACGAAAGCTCGTTTGTGCTTCTGCCTACGTCTAGTAATCTCCAACTCATGCAATTTTGTATATACCTCATTAAATATTTCATTTTGATCTTCTTCAGGTACAGTCGATCTGAATGGAAAAATATTAGTGCAAGCTGCATATTGACATAAATATATATTTTATATTTTCAGTATGTTTTCTCTTACCTATATATTTTCATTAGGTCATATTTTTCCCAAGGCTTTTTAAATGCTTCAGCTCTTTTCAAACGTTTCCCATAAAGTTCAAATTTCTCTACACCTTTTAAATCTTGAAGTTCCCATTTCTCTACCCATGGAAATGGATTTAGTTTCACTTTCATTTCATTTATAGGAACTGGTGCTCCTTCTACTAGATATTCTGGTTCCATATCAAAGGGAAATGTACTGTAATCCAGTGGTGCATCTCGAAGATACCGTAAATGTGGATCCAATCTCTTTTCAAGTCTAGACATTTCATAAATAGCAATACTGATACAAGAAAGTTTATATAAATAATTTAAATATATATGTAAATTTAAGAGAGCCACTCATATTTACCTGAGACATTCTATCTTCTGTATAGCAGGATCGTATAATTCATAGAGCACCTCTACACCATAACCATCAACTACATTCCTCAACTGAAACGTAGCTCTCAGTCCGCAGCCTTTCCTTTCAATGCATATTCCAATAAATTTGTTAACCTTCCCTGGAGCATGCGGCTCAGAATAAGTTACACTTAATATAGAACCAACATAAAACTCTGGTATATTTATGTGTGCTCGCCTTGCTAACATATCCATACGTTCTAATTTCTCTCTGAGTAAATTGCGATATTTTGGATCAGGATCTGGTAAAAATTCTGGATAAGTATATCGATACCTTGACGGTATAATTTTATTTTGTTTAAAATTCTGCTCTGCTGTCTTATTGTCCAATGATTTATCCACTGAATTTACATTAGTAAACGAGGTACATTTTTTAACTGCATTGCCTGAAAATGGCATTTTCGTAAATTAATAATTGTTCTATATCACATACAAATAATAATATGTATAATTATTAATAACCATAAATAGTTCCGGTATAAATCGTATATTATAACCAATCATATAACATCAAAGTAACATACGTAATATTTTCGCTGCTCGTAACCCGTTGTAACCACTGCGAGAAAAAATATTAGAAATCACAGCCATCTTCTAATATTCTGTTATATTATGATTAAGTAATTTATTAAAAAATTTATTTAAATACATGAAACTTCTCAATTTTTTAGAGGTTATTTCTCTTGAAGTACAAGAAATTGACCATAAATTAAATTTCAACATAGAATCAGTGGCAGGTCGAAAGATGATCGATAGATAATCGATTGATCGAAAATTGCTAATGGATGCGAGCGTATTTCCAGAGAGAAACCTGAGAGCGGCAAGTAAAGCCAGCGGCACACGGTGCTTGTTTTCGTGCTGGATTGCTTGCTGGATGAAAATATTGCGTTGTGATTGGTACATTTCCGAAAATGGATGGAAATGCACCAATCAGAACGCAGTATTTTCATCCAGCAAGCAATCCAGCACGAAAACAAGCACCGTGTGCCGCTGACTTAATACCTCGTCTACAATAGAAGTCGTAGAGCCGTTCATAGTCCGATCTTAAATATAAAACTCAGATGTTGTATAGATCATTTCATTGGCTACAAAATATCTGAACGTGTACTCAAGACGGTCTTAAATATAAGATCCGACTATGAATACTGGCCATAGAATCGTAAGTCGTACAAATTGACCAATCGCGGTCGATTAATTTTCTCTTACCGGACTATGATTGGTCAATTTCTACTACTTACGACTCTACGGGCCCATTCCCAGTGCGAAAAATCGGTGTCGCCGAAAACGCTGTGTTGGCCGCTCTCAGCTTCCTCTCTGCCAATAGTCACTAATCGTTCCATGCTTATTTCGAGCTATGCTTCATATTCCGGCCACGATATTCCTAAGAGGGCGCTAATGCACAGCGAGATTTCTCTGGTACGCTAAATTCCGTAAGATCAACAGTCTTTATAGTATCTTGTCGGTGGCTGAGTGCACTTGCGTTGTAAAACTTCAAGTATAAATTGAAGCGAACACGGCGTAGAAAACATTGTAAGAACTAAAGTTTTATATTTCATTCATATGATTCTATAGTAAAGATTCTATAGTCTAATATAAAGTAGTATATAAATATATAATGTAAATATAGGGTCTGTTTTTTGTAGCTGCACTGCTGAACTAGTGCAATAAGTTAGAGTGAGAAAAGATATAGTTGTAAATTCGTACATGTGAGGTTATACGAGAACAAGATGAAGAGATCACATACGAAAAGAGACGAGGACGAAGAACGCTATCACAAGCGAAAGGATCGTGAGCGCAGCAGCGAACGTAGAGAGTCCAAACGTAACGGCGATCACAAAAGTTCCAGGCACGATAGTCACAAAAGTTCCAGACGTAACGACGACAGGAGCTCTAGACGTGACGATGATCATCGGAGTTCCAGACGCGACGAGGACGGTCACCGAAATTCCAGACGCGACGATCGTAAAGATCGCAGGTATTATGACGATCACAAAGAAAATCGCAGGTACAATGATGATCATCGGGACTCCAGGTATAGCGATGACGAAAGGTACAAGAAACGGAATTCCGAAGGGAAAGAGGAGGAGGAGATCGGCAGCAGGTATTACGGAGAGCCACAGGAAAATCCAGAGGAGATGAGGCAAAAACGAACGGTGGATCTTCTAACCTCCAAGACAGGAGGTGCATACATACCTCCTGCCAAGCTGCGTATGCTCCAGGCGGAGATTACTGACAAGTCAGGAGCTGCTTACCAGCGTATCGCATGGGAAGCTCTGAAAAAGTCCATCCATGGATACATCAATAAAGTGAACACCAGTAACATAGGTATTATAACAAGAGAATTGTTACATGAGAACATTGTCCGCGGTAGAGGCTTATTGGCTCGCTCTATCATTCAGGCACAGGCTGCATCTCCAACCTTCACTCCGGTTTATGCAGCGCTGACTGCTATAATCAATTCCAAGTTCCCCAATATAGGCGAGCTGGTGCTGAAGCGTCTTGTGTTACAGTTTAAGCGAGGTTTTCGTAGGAACGACAAGCCTCTGTGTATATCTTCAGGCACATTCATAGCACACTTGGTCAATCAACGTGTAGCGCATGAAATCCTTGCTCTGGAGATCTTGACTCTGCTGGTGGAAACACCAACAGATGACTCTGTTGAAGTGGCTATAGCATTCCTGAAAGAATGCGGTATGAAGCTAACAGAGGTTTCCCGTAAAGGTATTGAAGCCATCTTTGAAATGCTGAGGAACATACTGCATGAGGGACAGTTGGACAAACGAGTCCAGTACATGATTGAAGTCATGTTCCAAATCAGGAAGGATGGATTCAAGGATCACGAAGCCGTACCAGATGAACTGGATCTCGTGGAGGAAGAGAGTCAGTTTACTCACTTGATTACATTGGACGAGGTGACAGACGCGCAGGACATACTGAACGTATTCAAATTTGACGCGGAATATCTTGCGAACGAGGATAAATATAAGCAACTGAGCAAAGAGATACTTGGCTCAGATGTCAGCGACTCGGAGGCCGAGGAAGAGGACGGAGAAGACGAGAGCTCGGACGAGGACAGTGGCGCCGAGCAAACCGAAGGTAAGGAAGGTGTGATACTCGACAATACAGAGACAAATCTGACCGCTCTTCGGCGCACCATATACTTGACAATACACTCGTCGCTCGACTTTGAGGAGTGTGCACACAAACTGATGAAGATGCAGCTAAAACCCGGCCAAGAGATCGAGCTGTGCCACATGTTCCTGGACTGTTGTGCTGAGATGCGCACGTACGAGAAGTTCTTTGGCCTGTTGGCCGGTCGGTTTTGCTCCATCAACAAGATATATGTGACACCATTCGAGCAGATCTTCAAAGACTCCTATCATACGATACACCGTCTGGACACCAACAAGCTAAGAAACGTGTCCAAGTTCTTCGCTCACTTGTTGTTTACGGACTCCATCTCGTGGAGCGTGTTGTCGTGCATCAAGCTGAATGAAGAGGATACCACAAGCTCCAGCAGGATATTCATCAAGATCCTGTTCCAGGAACTCTCCGAGAACATGGGTCTGTCCAAGCTGAATCAACGAGTCAAAGACGTGACGTTGCAGGAGGTGTTTGAAGGGCTGTTTCCCAGGGATGACCCGAAGAACACGCGTTTTGCCATCAATTTCTTCACTTCCATCGGACTGGGCGGTCTGACGGATGATTTGAGAGAACATCTCAAGTCCCATCCGAAGCCGGTCGTTGTGCCGGTTTTAAACAAAGAGAAGGAGGAGGAGGAAGAGAAGAAACTCTCGAGCTCGGACGAGTCGAGTTCGTCGTCAAGTTCCAGCTCCAGCTCGTCTAGCTCGTCCAGCTCCACGGAGAGTGATTCCTCATCGTCGTCGGACGATGAAGTTGTAATGAAGAAGAAGAAGAAGAAGAAAAATAAGGATAGGAAGGGGAGAAAGTCGAAAATGAAGGAGAAGAAGGAGCAGAAGCACAAAAAAGCACAGAAAAAGAAAAAGAAAGGCAGCAAGATGGCAAAGAGGGATAAGTGAGGGAGAAAGATAAAGAGAGAGAGAGAGGACGGGATAGAAATAAATGCAAATATATATAGGTATATTAAAAAATTTATACATAAGTATAGTATATACATGAGTCTTTTATCTTACGAGAGATGTGAATAAATCCAGAGCTAGTTTCTTTTTTATCTCTTATAAACGAATGCATATGGAATAATCGGTATTCATAGTCAGATCTTATATTTAAGACCGTCTGAAGTTCACTTTAAGATACTCTGTACTCAGTGAGAAATAACTCGTCGATCGACGTCGAAATCATCAAATCGATGTCGATTCGACATCGTTTCGACGTCGATCGATGATTCATTTCTCGCAGGGTAGCCAATGAAATAATTTGTATAGCATCTGAAGAAGAACTTAAGACGGTCTTAAATATAAGATCCGACTATGAATACCACCGGCCTGTGTCCAACATCTACATGTATAATAAATCTATCTATTTGTTCTACTTGTAAATACCTTGCGTCGTTCTATAATTCTTTAAGACCTCGAGATGAATGGTACAATAATAAACGAAAATATATTTCTTATGTTATGTACATATGTATTGTTACGCTCAAGCGTAGTTTTCCTCTCACTCACGATCACCCGCGTAAATAGTAAGCAACACTCCCGTGAATAAATAACAAGAACTCTTTAATATAAACAAAGCTTTGTACAAGGTTTGCAAACGAGAACAATTATTCAGAGGAAACTCTCAACGTAATTCGACCGAACCGCTCGATCGCTCCACAGAAAGTTACCCTTGCTGTAAACAATAACAACAACCGTAACAACGGTTGCTAAGGCCTGGTCTACAATATGTGTTGTAAGCTGTAAGCCGTAAGAACTGACCAATTATAGCCGATTATTTTTGTAATAATCGACTGTGATTCGCCAATTCTTATGGCTTACAACTTACGACACGTATTGTAAACCAGGCCACAGATGAGCGCCGACACATTCCACGTTCAGCAAGACATATATACGGGCGCGTAACAGTATTATCGCATACATAAACAATACCAGCGCTTGCGTCACATCATAATAGACATCATTTCCCGGCCAGCGGCCGCCGTTCGCGCAATTTCGCGTCTTTTACTCTCCGCAGAGACGCGCGACGGAATCGGACAATCGTCCGAAGCGACTTCGCGAAACGCCATGTCCCGCTGTGATCAACCGTCCGATTTCGAGTTTCGCGGTGGAGACGAGCGTGTCGTCATCGGCCAGAACTTTGTGTACGATATTTTGCGCCGGCCCTGACAATGAACACAAGATGGCAACGATACTACGCGTGCACACCGCAGCCGCACCTCCTCGCAATCTTCACCCCTCTCTCGCTCTCTTTCTCTTCCGCGTGTGTACACACGTGTATGTGTGCGGCGCGCCGCTCGGCCTAAGTGTGTGCGTAGCGCGCGGGGAGGTACGCAAGCTATTTTGACGGGAAGGTCACATGACTAGACACTCGGCTGCCGGCGGCGTCGTCGGTGTCCGCCGATTCACACAGACGTGTGCCGCCGACCGCGCGCCGTCGTCGTCGTCGTAATCGAGCTATACGCATCACGGTGTTTGCCGCGTCGCACGCACACGTGTGCGTGGTACACGAGCGGCGCGCACACACCTGCTCTCCTGGAGCGCGGCGGCTCTCGCGAGGGGTCGCAAGGACGTGGCAGGGATTTTTGAACCTGCAAATCAAATTCGCGCATATTTTCCGATAGGCGCACAATAGAGAAGCCGTCTCCATCGATCGTCGCTTCTCATCCGGCTGTATTCGTGTACCGGAATATCATAAGACGTAAGCGCGATATCGAACGGTTCATCAGGGCGTCTTCGCTCAGCAGACCAGAAGCACCGCTTCTCCTTCGCGCTGCCCTGTACCGTACGGTCCTGTCAGGTCCGAGCGGAGTTGAGACAGAGAAGTCCGCAAGCAGAGCTGTACCGAGATATTTCGGGCCCCAGGCTTTCTAATTTTCCTCGCCCTTCATCTGCGAATGCGAAATCCTCCTGCGACGATCCGTATCGCCGACGTCGTTATGAAAATGGTATATGTGTGGGAACACACCGAGATTGCGAGCGATATTTTGCCGAGACTCCGTAAAACCGATTTACAACCGCACAGTTTGCGATATTCGCAGTACGATCTAACGCATCATTTCTCGCCGATCTCAGCGTCCTGAGTACTCGTGCCTTGATCCGGCACTGACCGCGACAGGCGCGGCAGTACGCAGTAGGTGGCCGGTTGTGTCGCCGAAGGGGGGAAAGGGAATTGCCGTCGCCGCCGCCGTCGCCGCCGTCGCGGCCGCGATGCTCGTAGGGGGGAACGAGACAGGCATGCGGAGTTTACGGTGATTCTTTACTACCGAGCGGACGTGAGCGCGCGTATGTGCGAACGGCGAGCGCGAGCGCGCCCGCTCTCGTCGCGTGCACGCACACCGAGGCGAGCGTGCAGAACACTTCGCGCGCATTATGCACATTGCGCAGCGCTCGACGCACGCACGCACATACGAGGTGTCGAGGAATTAAGCGCCCGGTCTGCGAGGTTCTTTCGACGACACTTCGAATGAAAAGAACGGTCGGCAGGAAGACCCGTTTTGTCTCGTAGTCGCGGACAAAGGACGATGAACCGCTTTTGGCGGATGAGCCGTCCAGGTGCGAATAGCTAAGGCAAATGTTCGATATCTACGTTACTTCGAATAAATTCCACATCACAGTCTCGCTCTTCGTCTTACGTTCAATCATTGAAACGTTTAAATAACGTAGAAATGTAAGAAGAGCCGATGAGCGATCAAATTTTCAAAGGACACCTCATCGAGAAGTACGTAATATACGGCACGTGGTGGTGTCGCAATGGCGGTGCTTCTTCGACACCCTGTACATGCGGCCGGTTGGGCACTCACATCAGAGCGCAGCGCGTGCACGTGTACGCGGCCGCGCGCGCAGCGTAATCGCGCGAAAAGCGCGCGTCGCGCGCGCGCACACACGGAGACAAAGAGAGAGAAAGAAAGGAGGCAGACAGGGAGGGAGGGGGAGAGAGAGAGAGAAAGAGAGACGGAAAACTCACGAGCGAAACCAGTCTCGCTCTCTTCAAGGGCTCCACCGTCTATCTCTGACTCTCGTCTCGTGTTTACGCGGCCGTATGCGCGCACGCGCTCATGTACATGTGTACATGTATGTATATGTATGTGTGTACGTACGTAACGTGCGCGGACACACTTCAAAGGGGCGAGAGAGAGAGAGAGAGAGAGAGAGAGAGAGAGAAAGAAAGGAGGGAGACAAGAGGAAGAGAGAGAGAGAGAGAGAGAGAGAGAGAAAACGAACAAAAGAACGAGAAAAAGGAGCGCCCCTCCGCAAACCCTGCGAGTGCAAAAAGACCGCGCGGAGCACGAGCGTGAGTGGGACGGAGACGGAGAGAAACCAGAGACAGAACAAACATCTACGACGGTCGTCGTCCACGAGAACGCGACGTGCGAGGAGAAGCGCGCGTGAAAAGCGTACGTATATATCTCGCTGAGGTCTGCCGTTGTCTCGTTAGCGTCTGTGCACACGTCGGGAAACAGAGAGAAGGAGCGAGCGAGAGAGTAAGGGGGGGAATAGAGATAGGGACAGAAAAAGACGGAGAGAGAGAGCGAGAGAGAAAGAAATTCGCACCAGCCCCGTGCGTGCGTCGCGCGGTAGATGGTCCATTCGCTTCTACGTCGCTCGGAATCGCTATCAGCTCTTCTCGCGACGCTGTGAAAAATATGCGTGCTCCCGCTGGTGTCTCCTGCTCGTTGTTGTTGTTGTTGTTATCGTCCCGTCCACGCTCGTCGTTCGGTGCGTGCTCCGCTGCCGTCGCCGTTGCCGCCGCCACCGCTGTCGCCGCCGCTGTCGCCGCTGCTGTCGCCGCCACCGCCGCCGTCGCCGCTGCCGTCGCCGCCGCCACCGCCACCGCCGCCGCCGCCGCCGCCGCCGCCGCCGCCGCCGCCGCCGCCGCGATCGATACGCCATTGCGTCGCGACGTGCCGACGAGTAAATCGCTCGTTTGACGATGCCCATGCCGCTGGTGGTGGTCGCGCTGCAGTACATGCGATAATATACGCCGGACGTCGGACGTATCGTGCCGACGACATTCTCGTTGTTGTTGTTGTTGGTTGGCGCGCGCGAAACGGTGGCGCGCGATACCGATCGGCCAGTAGCGACAGCGACGACGACCGCGACCAGGACGGCGAGGACGACGTTCGTAGTGCTGGCAGCCGCGACGTCTCGACGACAGTGACGATGACGACGATGATGATGATGATGACGATGATGACAACGACGACGACGGGCACGTTGACGATAACATATACCGTCCGCGGCAGTGCGCTGTAGTGAAGTGACGGATAAAGAGGATAGAAAGAGAGAGAGAGAGAGAGAGAGAGAAACAGAGAGAGAGAGAGAGAGAGAGATATGATAGATAGAAATGCGCGTGTGTGCCGTGCGATGATTACGAACGATAGATAGGTAAACGAACGAGTGGCGGTCGAAGGAGACATGTGTCATTTCACCGCGGCTGTCTACGATTGCGTTCGATAAGACAGATACGGCTCAGGCCGAGCTATGGATCGTCGGCCCGTATCCGTGACCGTGCGACCCGAGTCGCTTTCGTCGCGCATCGAATTCGCGGCTACGAGGACGTCGCGTTGAAAACCGCCGTCACCGCCGTAAGAGGAGGAGGAGGAGGAGGTGAAGGTGGAGGAGGAGGAGGACGACGACGAAGAGGAGGAGGAGGTGGAGAAGAAGGAGGAGGTGGTGGTGGTGGCAGTGGTAGTGGAAGAAGAAGAGGAGCACAGCAGAGAGGAAAGAGGGAATCCACGACGGAGGGAACTCGCGAGGAGGAGGTTCTCTCTCTCTCGTCCGAGGCTAACGGAGGACGGCGCTTCTGCGTGCGATCTCCGCGTAACGCACTTTTCTGCCGCGAAAGCGGGAGAGAGGGAGAGTAAGGGACACGGACAAAGAGAAAGACAGAGAGAGAGAGAGAGAGAGAGAGAGACGAAGAAGACAGCGAACGACTTTATCATGTACGTGGAAGTGGCGTCGCGACGGATCGCGGCTCGTGCTGGTAGCATCGTTGTCTTCGTCGGAGGCGAATAATGCAGCAACGGCGGGAGGGGCGAACGTAGAGAGGAAGGAAGGACGCGACGAACGGGTTATAGCGTGTATAACTCGGTCTCTCGTGCTGGACGGGAGCGGAGCGAGCAAACGTGCGACAGAGGACGAGGAGAGACGGGCAGTGAGAAGAGAGAGAGAGAGAGAGAGAGTGTGTGTGTGTGTGTGAGAGTGAGTGAGTGAGAGAGAGAGAGAGAGAGAAAGAGAAGCAAGAGGTGGAGGGTCTCTTAGCGCGCGCGGGTTAGAAACCCCGCTCAGCGCTCAGTGAGATGGACCCGGGCACGTCTGTGGACTTGGCGCGTCGATTCGCGAGCGAGCGCGAGGAACGTGGAGCCCGCGCGACAATGAAGACGAAGAAGACCGCCGTGACAAGATGTTGCCGTTGGGCCCGAATGTCGTGGAAGTGGGATCGCGAAGCGTGCCAGTTGTTGTTCTAGTGGATCCCCGCGCTGCGTTACTTCGGTGTCCGCGACATAAATAAAGAAACGCTCGGTTGACAGTTTGAAAGATAATACGATATCGAATCGTGTAACGCGTTATATGAAACTTGTTCGCTTGTTCGACAGCGGCTCGACCGAGAGCGAGAGAACATACGTTTAGTCGAGCGGTGTCAGCGGTGTCGACGATCGTTAATCGTCCGTCCGTCCGTCCGTTCGTTCGTTCATTCGTACATACATACGTTCGTTTGTTTATTCATTCGTTCATTCATTCATTCATTCATTCATTCATTCATTCATTCATTCATTCGTCGCCCGTCGTTTTTGATACTCTTCCTCAGCTCGCTTGTCTCTTGCTGCGTGCGGATACTTTCGGTCACGACACGGTCACGAAGGCACGCACGAGGAATAATGGAGACACTATTGCCGGGCAACACCACTACCAACAGCCAGTCGTACAGTCCGCAGTTGAAGACCGTGCTGAAGACCTATCAGCTGTCGGCCGTCAAGAGCCTGCAGGGTCCCAACTCGGCCCTCTTGGGCATGGACTGTAAGGGTCTGCTGCAAGAACAGTCCGCGACATCGTGTTTCTCACCACCCCCCAGTCGTCCAACGGTGAACTGCGGCCTGGACTCGTCGCCGTCGGAGCAAGTGCCGAGCGCGAAGGACGTCGTCATCGAGAAGGAGCGCGAGACTTCGCCGACGACGCCCGTTCCCATCACGCGTCAGCCGCTGACCGACTCGGACGAGGACTTCCCTGTGAACCCGGTGGACCGTCCGAAGGGTGCGTGCGAGAAACGCGAACACGAGTTCCAACGGCCGATACTCACCGCGCCCGATCAGAGCTGCTCCGAGAGGAGCGAGACCCTGCTGGAGGGCGAGAGGATATCCTGCTTCGAGGTGGGCGGCGAGAGGAGGTTATGTTTACCGCAGATACTCAACACGGTGCTGCAGGACTTCTCGTTGCAACAGATCAATCAAGTGTGCGACGAGCTGCAGATCTACTGCTCGCGATGCACCAGGGACCAGTTGGAGGAGCTCAAGCACTCCGGGATTCTGCCGCGTAACGCACCCTCCTGCGGCCTCATCACGCAGACCGACGCGGAGAGGCTCGTTAGTGCTTTACTGTCACGGACAGAACCCTGCGATCCGTCGCAGATCGCCCAGACCCAGGAGAGCCTCGATAAAAAGGTGTGCGCTAAGAGTGAGGACGACGAGGAACCTATCGTTAAGTTCAAAGTGTACCACGAGTGTTTCGGCAAGTGTAAAGGCATCTTCGACGCGGACCTGTTCGAGACGGACGATTCGGTGTGCATCGAGTGTCTGGAGTGCGGTTACTCGTTCTCGCCGCAGCGCTTCGTCAGACACGCTCACAGATCTCTGGAGAACCGTACCTGCCACTGGGGTTTCGACTCGGCCAATTGGCGCTCGTATTTGTTACTCTCTCGCGATCAACAGCACTACTACAAGTCGCTCATCCTTTTTCGCGAGCTGAAGGAGGGCACGCTCGCGTTAAACCCCAAGCGAAAACTCAAGGTATTATTGATACGCCTCGATACACAATTCTGCACGTTATTTGTGAGAGAGATTCGTTAAGATAAGATTATAATGTTAATATTACGCGTCTCGATACGATATACGCATTCAACCGCTCGAGATAATACCCTGTGTCGCAAGTGTGCTGGCAAGGTGTGTGTGTGTGTGTGTGTGTGTGAACGCGAGTGTCTGTTTCAGCTGCGACACGAGCACGAGAAGTTAGCGAAACGCACAAAGAAGGACATAGGAAAGGACGAGTGTCCCGCTATCTACAATGGCAACGGACTGGGCATGTATCATCCGGCGGTCTCTCAAATGGCCAGTGCCGACCCGTACCTGCAGATGCATTGGGCGGTCCTCGAGTTCGCCACTCGGGGCACCGCGTCCGCCTTTCGGCCTTGGAGTGCTACGGGCAATTGCAAACACAGGGACAAGTGAGTATCGGCTTCCTCGTGTGCAGCGACGGTTCACGCATGACCTGCGTTTTCTTCGCGCATTCAGACGGCTCTTAAAGACCCGCGTCTCTCTTCCTTTACAGTTCATCGTTGGTGCCTGCTTATCTCAGCCGAGGTCCGCCCGTGCTGCAGCATCCCGAGCGAGTCATCCCGTTGTCGGAGTGCGAGCGCTTCGAGCCGCACTTCCAGCCTAATGTGGCGCTGGCGCCCATACCGACACCTACGATGGCACAAATATCGCCGTCGGCTGCGTCCTCCGTTCATCAGCAACGGCGGCATCACCACGAGCATCACCAACGTCGTCACGGTCATCGCTCGTCGAGTCCGGACGAGAAGCAGGAGATACTGTCCGCCAATGTCAAGCTGGAGAAAACGTCGCCGAGTCAAGCGACCCCGGCCGTCGTTGGTTCTTACCCTCTGTACTACATGTCGGAGGACGATCAGAAGGAAGCACCGACAACGGTCAAGGAGAAGAAAGAGGAGAAAGAGGGCGAGGAAGAGGAGAGCAGCGCGGCGGTGACGTCGTCCACGGTGAACGTCGAGCCGGTGCCAGGCGCGGGCGAGGTCGGCACCTCGTCGCCCGAGAGCGACTCCGATTCGGATGCCAACGGCAACGCGGCGGTGGACCTCGAGGAGCGGCTGATAGCGTTGGAGGTGCCGCAGGACGTGCTGGAGTTGGCGCGCCGGGTGGTGCTGGAGAACGCGCAGCTGCGCCGTCATCGGCGCTCGGACGCGCGCGAGATATCGAAGCTGCGCGGCCAGTTGCACATGCAGAAGCAGCTCCAGTCCGCCGACGAGGGCGAGCCGAAGGAGGACGCGACGACGGCGCGTGCCGGCGCCGCGGCCGACAGCACCGAGGGCAGTGAGGAGACCGACGCGAGTTTACCATCGAACAATAAGGAGTCCGAGCCGGCCGCGCTGGCGACTAACAACGAGTCGGAACAGTGATTAGGATACGCGCAAGTTATTTAACGCTCAGCAATTACCGCGACTCTCATCAGCGACTATCGCGACGCTCATCTCTGTCGGCCGAATAAACGTGTACTGAACTTGGTGCGTTAGGTACGTGCGGGATGCGGCACTTAAAACGGCCGCGATCACTCGACCACCTCGGGCTAACCGTTCGAAATAGCGTTGACAAGTTACAACTGCGAAAGTTGCAAAGTTTCAAGTTACCTATTCGCGAGTCATGCTTCCAAAATCGTGCGTTTATTCTTTCTCTGTTGCTCTTTATCTTCGCTCTTTCAGTCAGTGCTTTGAAATGGAAATTTGCGTGGAAATTTCTTCTTTTTTTATTCTTAAACAGATAATGGACGTCCGAATGTCTGCATATCGCATCTGTAATCGCATATGTAAAGCTGCCAAATTCCGAGTTGAACAGCGCATTATGCTCTATTTATCCTAAGTTTAATGGTTAACAAAATATTAATGAAAGAACTGCGTCGGAATTAGATACGATATCACCGAGTGACGTGTGCGGGACAAAGGTCTTTATCTCTGGTCGTCAACACAATTATACTCTGATTACTTCCATCATCTGGTCTCCGTAAATTAGTATCGAAAGCATAGATTATGTTATACGTGAGATTAAAAAAAAGCAACGGCTATAAATATAGAATCAATAATATTGTAGCGACGGTGATTACCGGTTGCTACTGCAGTGAAAAATGCGATACGTGACAAACTGTTCGTCACACTGAACAAGGAGGATAAAAGGAATATGTAGAAATAGCTAAATAATGCACAACATTTCCAAGCTAAATTCTAACGTTAAAAACGGCGACGACAACTCTCGGCAAATAAAAAACGAAACGAGGTAACGAAAGAAAATATGACCTCGTGGAAATCGTATCGGTTCCTTTTTACCCGACGATTCCTCACGCGACGCGCAATTTAGAAATGATTCGAGGTGGTCGTCTTAAGTGCCTCGGCCCGAGTAAACGACATTACGATTCTAAACGAAACGAAAAACTGTTTAGGTTTATGTGATACGCGACGAGCCTTTATAAACGTTATCGCAGTTAATTCGGAGTTTTTACGATAAGTAACCACGTGCTGTCCAACTCAAAATAAGAAAACATCGAGCTAGGTAGGGTCTTCGCATGCGCGCGCGCGCGCGCGCGCACCTCGTGCTCCCATCGCGAAATTCAAGCCGACCGGCCGTTGTCAGCGTAGATAACTTGCCTTCCACGCTCAAAGACGACGGTTTCTTTTGTCAACTACGCGTGGTACGTCCACTTCCTGTTTGCATTTCGTCGTAGCGTTCCACAGCGGATAAGGAGAAAGAGAGAAGACGCGCGAGGTCCGCCGGGTCGTTCCGCGAATGAATTTCTGCTTGTCGGATGTCGGTCGGATGCCGCGGGGACGAACGTCGTTGTTGTCCCGTCGAAATCTCCCGGTCTCATCGGTGACACTGGCGGATTAGAAGAAGGGTGATACTCCCGGTGGGAGACGTGGTAAACCGATGTGCCACGAGTTGGATAGCTACGTCAGATATGCCTGTATCGGTCGATTTCGTCGATGAAAATCGAGCGATACTGCAGATACTGTGTATATATATATCTGAGAGTGATACATAGATGATATATTGTATTATATCGAAACAGGGGAGTAAATTTTAAGGAATATACCGCGCCAATAACAATTACATTTAATGGGTATTATAATTATAAATGATACATTTCGCGTATATTAAATATACGCGAGATGTAAGCAAGATTTTTACAATCATAATTTTGATCCCCGATATGCTGAGAAAAGAAGTCGAGTGAATGAATGAGGGAAAAGAGTATAGTTTTGTGTGTGTGCGCGTGTGCGTGTGCGTGAAAGTATGTGCGTGTGTGCGCGAATAAATGAACGAATGAGTTAGATTGCTTTCCATTCTCGTCTTGTAGTCATGATCGCATAATGTAAATATACTGTGGCATCATAGGGAGGGGCAGGGGGGTATGTATGTTTATATAATTAATTACACTATCATGACGAAATAATGCTGAAGTACAAAAAATCTAGATGCTATATTGTTATATTCTAGGTAATGCTGTAAGAGCGTATACCTAGGTGTGTTCCAGCAGCTCGTACTACAATTGTAATGCCCAGAACGTTATACGCGTTCCGAACCGAATTGCGCCGTTACGTTACGTATCTTGTACAATACGTATATTAACGGGATCTGCTTTTTTGTTCGATGAAAAAAGCTCGGTCTAAGCCTAACGACATCATCAATGAGGAGCGAAAGAAATCGCGTACACGACAATTATCTGGTGGTTACATACAGTAGGACCATAATTCGAATCGTCGTTGATAAGAACATGAGTTCGACTGTTCTCACATTTCGGACTATCAGCGCGATGGTGTCGCGACCGCGGCAAATTGTTTATTTATAACAAGAGAACGACGATCCAGGTAACACAAATCGTCAATACTCCTGTATAGTCATGTTGTTTTTCTTCCTTTTTTTCCAAAAAATAAAATTAAAGCTTTTTCTAAAAGTATGTATGCTTTTTACGGCATAGCGAATAAAAGCGAAATGGCACGTACGTGTGGACACGTACTGTATATAATTCTTGTTGAGACTACAATGTTTTTTGTTATTAATATATGTAATACTTTTAACTAAAGATTCGCAACTGGGCAACTCACATCTTTAATATATACATATAGATATATATTTATATTTATTTTGTATAGTATTGTTGGTACACATATCATTTTAGTTGTATTTAATATATAAATGGTCCTACTGTGAAAGAAAGAAAGAGGAAGAAAGAGAGAGAGAGAGAGAGAGAGGGGGGAGGGGAAGAAAGAGAAAGAAATATATATGTGCAGAGAATTATACTGTCCGCGCTGATAGCGCTTTCATATTTGTCAATGTTCAGCTGAAGAGTACATAGAATTGAAGAGAGAGAGAGAGAGAGAGAGAGAGAGAGAAAGGAAGACGCTATCAGCACCGCTTATAATCTCTGAATATGTCTCGAGTTTTAGCAGAGACCGAGTGTTAAATTATATGTTGGATATAATTATTTTTTTTTATTGCGGATTTTTATTTTTATGCGAACTTGAGTCGATTGTTGGGACTGACGATACGGAAAAGCTTCAAGAAGATTATTTTTCCTGCATGAGAATACTCCATATGAATTGTCTGTGTATCAATTTATTATATATTATACTACACACGCCACAATAAAGGGAAATAGATTTTTTTTAATATATTCATACGAAGTATAGATAAATAAATAAATATATATATATATATATATTGAAGCATGAACAAACAGCAGATATTATATGCACGTGTAAAAGAGGATGTAGATACAGAAAAAAATACATATATACCAGACATATACGCAAGAAGTAACTTTTTATTACGGACTCTATTGTCATTCATTACATACATGTACGATACGCAAATCGATAATGCGCGATGGAAATGTCTATATCTTTCATTCCCCTGTTTTATTTTATTTTTCTTTTTTCTTTCGCCGTTGCGCTGCGCTTTTGTTTCGCCGCTTGAATATTTTTTTACATGAGAGATACGTGACGGAGAATTCCCAGTGACAGGATGTAGTACAATCTCCAAGTTGAGGCATGCTATACGTTGCGCGAGTGTATTTGTAAGAATGTAATCTTGTTTTTATACCGACTGACTGCAAAAATCTTTCTTGAGGTACTTGTATTATATTACGTATGTGGCCAAGACGCGCAAGATACGAAGAGACTGACGTCGGGATTGTATAATATACAACGCGCATCTATTCATATCCGCTTGTCAGGCATATAATAGCCATTAACAATGTAAATCGTATACACTTGCATTATATTTCCATTGTGTAGCAAAACATGATTATTAAATGCACGATAGTGTATCGCGAAAAAATATACACGCATATATACATGTGTCGAGACTGCTTCGAAGATCTCTTGTATGTACGTTTGTCTTTTCCTACCTGTTCTCTTTTTGTTTCTTCTTTCTTTTATGTTTTCCTCTTTTTTTTCTTTTTTTAGTGTAGCAACAGTGCCAGTAATTTTCTTGCATCGCGTCGTAATGGGAAAAAAAAAACGAAAGAACGCGACGAGAAATTTGACATTTTCAAGCTCACAAGAGAGAGGGAAAGAGAGACTCGACGTAGCTCTCTCGATTCTAACGATGGTGTGTCCATGAAGCGAATGTTAAATTTTCAAAGCAATCTGTTAATGTAAAGAGAAACCTGATTATGTATGAAATAATCGACGATATAGAATATAGAATATACACATTCATTACATACACATATAAATATAAATATATATTTATATTACATAGGGCATTATATAATACATATATATACATGACATTATATTAGACATATATAACGCCCTATGTAACATTCGGTCAATATACATAAGAAACGCATACGTTACATCGTAATGTTACAATAATCTAAGCATCCCATCTAAGATAAAGAATGTAATAATCTATGTTTTTCATACACATGCGAAACACGTACACACACATACAAACGCAGTTTACCGTAGAGTTATCTAGGACGTAACATATAAAGATACTTCGTATAATACTTATAATTACATACAGCTCGATTTCGAGGATACACATTTGAAGTCTGTATAATTAAACGATTTCGACGAATCATTGTAACTGCCATGACTTAAGATATATCTTGATTTCATGGATGAAAGAAAAAGAGAGAAAGAAAGGAAGAGAGAGAGAGAGAGAGAGAGAGAGAGAGAGAGTGTGTGTGTGTGTGTGTGCGCGTATGTGTGCGTGTGTATCTGTGAATACGAGAGAGTGAGAGATGTATTTTAATTTCGAATGAATATATAACGCAAATAAAATGGAGAGTACATACGATGCCTGATTTAATTACAAAAAAAAAGGACAGAAGTTAAAATACGAGAAGGAAATGTATTATTTTTTAAATCGCGACATGTGTATGCGACATTCGAGATTGTGTCGCTCGTGCTTATAAGTATAATTACGACACCGTGTCGAAGCAAGATGCTGATGCTCGCGCTTGTGATAGCGCAGACGTCGGAAGTGACTTTTCATCGTGCGTTTCGCGAATATTATCTCTGTTGTTATATATACATATGTTTAGTCTGACTTTCGAAACACGAATTGTGTGTATAAGTGCTAGTTGATACGACCTACACACGTGCTGTGCATGCGTGTGCGTACGCTCGTCTCTCACTCGAGTGTCGCGCGATTCGACGACGACGACGCGCGGTGGTAGTTACGAAATTCCTCGTCTCGACGCGCCCGGCCGAAATTGCTCGCGTATTTTCGTCAATCTCCAGCGACGCGTGTCTTATCAGCGATGCTGTTATCACCGGGTGTAACATATGATGTCGGCGCACCGCGCGCGCGCGCGCGCGGCAGACGCGAGTGTTGTTCTATTCTTAACTTTGTACGAAAACACACGAAAGTCGTAAAGACAACGAGAACGAGCAATACTGCTCTCGTGATACGGACAATCCATAACGCGCACGCATACGCATATACACGCATCCACTCACTCGCCCATACACGCACATACACACACACACACACACACACGCGTGCGCGCACGCGCGCGTGCACGCACACAAAGATGAAAACATACCGTACACACACGCCGCAGAAAATAAACTATTGAATAGACGATAAGGCGTATAGAGCAAATCGGCATCGCTTCGTTCATGCGATAACGAAATAAATGGACGAGGCGGAGACGCCGAGCGTATCTAGCATAAAGGGGAGAGAACTTTGCTCCGCGAACATGTCATATTTCCGGCAACCGTAGGGTGGATTCCGCTAGCGGAGAATATAGTACCTGCGTAATCGGCGATAGTCTGTAACGTAACGATCGAAATTTCCGAACATGCACTCTATTAATACTCGGCCGCTACAAAAGTAATTCCACGCGTACACCGTTTCGTACACTACTAGCTACCCAGACCTCACAAATGTCATCTTCCCGCGCGTGTATCCAAGAGACGTCATTAAGGACTTCGTTTAAACGTTTAGAACTTCGTCGGATGTCCTCGGCACATCGTCCCATCGAGCGCCCTAGATTTGCGGAGACATCGTTTAGACATCTTTTAGACATCTCTCTCAGTCGCGTCGAGAGCGGGTCGCTTTCGGACATTTCTGGGCGCTCGAGATTTTTGAGACTTAGGCATCTTTTAGGCGCCCCGAATTTTTCGGACGCCGTTTAGACACCTTTTAGACGCCCTGATCTTTTAAGGCGTCGTTTAGAGGTCCCCAATTTTTCGAGACGTTATTTAGCTGTCTCCTAGGCGTACTTCAAATCTTCAAGACGTCGTCGGGAACGTCTTTTGGATTTTTGTGTCGTCTGGGTATGAGGCGCTGTGTTGTCTAGAATTGTTATCGGTAATTTCATTTATCGAACACTTTGTAGAGGGGGAGGGGAGAGGTCGTAGTAGTGGAAATAACTTAACGATGCGTCGGCAACTACGACGCGCCGTACGTGCTCGAGCGAAAAAGAGAGAAGATTTAGACGGTAGTTTATTTTCTTGACTTGCGCTCTCTTATATTTATTTCGTCGTTGAAAAAACTATATATCGCACGTGTAGAGCAGGAAAGAAGAAGACGGGTCTCTCTCGCGAACTGCGTAGGATTATTATACTCTTTAAGAACTTCAGCGTGTCATTGAGATATATACACAACAAAGTGCAATACGAAAGTACAAAGTCTGACCTCTTGTTCTCGCATTTTATAAATTCTCACGGGAAGGGAGAGAAAAGAAGGGAGGAGAAATCGCGCGACACGATCGCTCTTCTTAAGTGTTCTACGCCCTCGTAGTCGTAAGAATTGCGAAAAGAATAAAAGAAGAAAAAAACGTTAAATTAGCGACAAAACGAGCGCCGGTCCTCTCTTCGCGGCGTATAACACATACGTATACACACATACACACATACACACACGCGCGCGCGCGTGCGCGCGAGATCTCTTATCCACCGAGATCGTATCTGCGTAGCGATAAATTTACCGATAATACGGTGGAATTCCGTTTTATAAGCGCGTGCCCGAGATCTCGTATTTGCGGACATGCAGTTGCATCGCATTGCGAAGAGAAAAGTGACACACGCGTAGGGACGATTTTGTACCGAAACAATTTTGTATACCTATTCAACACACATACACACACACACACACACATATATATCCACGTGCATTGAACACGTACACACCGATCCGACGAACCTTCGATAGAATCTCGCGACTTCCGCTACGTCTGAGGTATACAGACGTAACGTAACGTAACGTAATAAAAAATAATATATATATAAGAGAAACGTCATTTCTACGGTCATATATATATATATATATACATACATATATATATATATATATATATATATGTGCCGAAGACGTTAATGGTACCTAAGTAGTAGTCGATCCGCAATCCACCGATGACTTATATTCGGCACGATTACGACACAATTGTACATACGCGAGTATTTTGCAAAAAAAGGGAGGAGGAAAAAGGAGGAAAAAAACGGAACGAGTCACACCCGCAATTGTTAAGCGTAAGCCAGGAGAGCTGTTACACAGACAGGAAACAAATATACCACCGTCATTTATATTAATTGATACAAATAAAATCAAGTTTCGAGCAACGCCTGTGCGTGTCGCCTGTGTGTGTGTGTATGTGTGTGTGTGTGTGTGTGTGTGTGTGTGTGTGTATGTGTGTCATTGCATCGCAAGTTTTCGAAATTTCGCACATCGCACGATCGGCTCGATTCCGATTCGAGATTCATACTCGATGTTCTCCGCGGTGTCGATTCACTACGGGGAAGAAGGGAGGAGAACGACAGCCAACTTCACTCTCTTCCGCAGCACAGCATTTTCGATATTTTTATTTTGACAAAAGACCGCCGCTGTAATTTTGTTTAATTTACTTATATCACATTTAGAGACTGTTCATTTCAGGCTGTTTCATTTCAAACTGTAATCAATTGTCTTAGGAAGGACGTTATCAAAAACCCTTTTTATCCAGGGAGAACAAGCGGAATTTGTTTACGGACAAAGCTCCCCTAAATCCCATCCTCGATCATCGTTGCTGATTCTTTTCGTTGATCTCTCTCTCTCTCTCTCTTTCTCTCTCTCTCTCTCTCTCTCTCTCTCTCTCTCTCTCTGCGTATGAATTACATTTAATTTCAATGGTACTTCAAACACACATAAAGCGCCTCGCGCCGTGCGAATTGTCGTCGAAACCTAACTAACGGTACCGATCGCGGGGACTCGCCGCTCAGCGATTTTCGCCACCGTAGCGCTCTCTACCTGCCGTGTGCAGGATTAATGATTCCCATAGCGATGAGAGTCCTGTCCGAGAGGGACGGCCGAGGCGACCTGAGGAAGGCACGAGTTGGTCCGCCGCGTCACTCGCGCCGTCGCGACGAAGAAGTATTCTCGGTCTCGCAGCGTGTTTTGGCCGGCCAGCCGACCTGCGGCGGCAGTGTGACTCCTGCGTCGCCGCGAGCCACGTAGGCGTCGGTCGCGAGAGAAATCGAACGCGCGTCGTGTCGCGCGTGTGAGTCGCGCGCGAGCAGGTGACCGGTCGCCGCGCCTGGAGATGTGAAATTTCGGAGCGTGTTTCGCGAACGAACGGCAGAACATGGCCTTCCTGTGCCCCGTGCGCATCCGTCGCGGCAAGAAGAAGAAACGTGAGTAGACACGCCGGGACGGCGCGGCCGGTCCGCTCGCGTCCTCGCCCGCGCCGTCGCGAGGAGAGCTCGAGAGCCGATCAGCATAGTTCGGCCGTGGGAGCCAGTTGTCACGCTCGGCTCGATCACCTGTTGCTCCGGACCGGTTATGCAGCTTCCACTCGCGGCATCGGAAAGGACTCGGCCGAGTTCAAGCACCGATCACGCGCGCGACTTTTGATTTTTCTTCCGTCCCGAGGACGCAACGTCGCTTCCTCGCCCGCGCAACGACGTTGTTTCGCGAATAATTCGCGCTCGCCAGTCTGATCGGGAACGCGAATGTCGTACGAATCATTTTTGTCTCTGAGCTTGTCGCGAATAATAATGCCGAGGAAAAGTCGCTTTTATCAATTGTTGTCGCACTGTTGCGCTTGCGGTGATTCGTCGGAGGACTAATATTTCAATTTGTGCTCTTAATTTACCGTGACCGATGAGTTCCGAAGGATTGAATTTCTTTATGTAATAATCGTTAATTTCACACACAGCCGGAACGCATAACTTTAATTTGGAGAAGGATTGCGTTGGGACAGGAAGCACAGGGCTCGGTCTGGGCACCAGGGTGCCGGTGCCTCCTGGTCGGATAACGGGAAGCGCCAGTATCGAGACCCTCGTAAGAGTCGGCATTGAAAAGGAGAATGGGCTGTCCCCTGATAGTAAGATGGTTATCGTGCATGATTTCACCCCTTGTGTGGACGATGAGCTTCAGGTCAAGAGGGGACAGGTCAGCAATGATTCACCGAACTTTTACCAACGATTTTTCATTACTCATCCTTCGACCATCCTGCTGCGTATCTTACTGCGATTTACACATGTATATATATATATATATACACACACACACACACACACACACAATTAATTCTCCCGTACGTGTGATATAAACATGTTTATAAATTTATACAGAACATAAAGCGTTATTCTAGAAGACTCGCTTCCTTAGGGGACACGTTCGTATCACCAAAGGAGATCAGGGAGTTAAAGACCCAGATAGATAATCGGGTTCTTCAAGGATCTTAACCTGTCCAATGTCCCTTAAAAGAAGACTATTGGGCATAATAGATCTGATATGAGGTCGTGGTGACGCACAGGCTGTTCGGAGCCTCTAGCATCCTAGGGCTTTTTCTAATAATAATGATAATAATAATAAAGCGTTATTCATATTCATACACGGTATAAACACGTGAGGATGTTTGCGTTTCAGGTAGTGAACGTGCTCTATCGGGAAAATGACTGGGTATACGTAATAGCGGCCGAAACGCGCATGGAAGGATTCGTACCGCACTCGTACTGCGCACCGTACACGTCGCAGCTGGCGGAATTGACGCTCGCCAGCCTGAACAACGTAAAGAAGAAGTTGCCGCGTTCCAGCGACAACGATTGCGACCTGCTCAGCAGCGGTCGCTTGCAGACTACGGAGACGCAGCAGACCGACACCGGGTCGGCGTCCGATTGCGAAAGCTACGCGCGAAACAACATCACTACCGCAGATGTCAACGTCAATCGCTCCAACATTACGCAATCCCAAAACTCCATACAGACCATATCGTCGCAGCCGGACGTGCATCCCTTCTTCAAGGTACGAGCCGACTGCTCAGAGACTGCCACAGTTGCTTGAGTCGGCAACAAGTCGCATTGTAAGTTCACGTTACCCTTGTAGGACCCTTCGGCCGGGAGATACATCGTCCTCTACACGTTCGTAGCACGGGACGAAAACGACGTGAGCGTCGAGAGAGGCGAGTTCGTGACGGTGCTGAATCGCGACGATCCAGATTGGTTCTGGGTGCTCCGGCATTGCGATGGCAACGAAGGTTTCGTGCCATCTGGTTTCGTCTACCCAGGCCACGTTCTTCATTCTTACGCGACCACCACAACGGCCACCACTGTCACTACGAATACAGCGTCCGCCGAGACTCATAGTCTAGGTCAGCACCTTGGCCGACAATCAAATGGTTTACAAAGTAATGAAAAGAAATACTCCTCTTGAAAGTCTGTAAACTTTGCAGACGTTAACGATAGGACTTAGTGAAATTCCGCAAAAGACTCGCGTTGTTCTCGATTCTGGTCGAGCTGGTGTTAACGGTGCGTTTGCTTTGCAGGCAAGGGCACCGGAAACCTAGCGGCGAGCGAATCGCTGCAGCAAAAGGGACTGCGAGATTTCCGGGACGAGACGACCGGTACGGAATTAGTGGTGCTTTACGATTACAAGGCGCAGGCGCCGGACGACCTGTCGGTGAGGAGGGCCGACTGGATATACGCGGATCTGGGAAATCAAACGGTGGACGGTTGGCTCTGGGCGTACGCGCCCAAAACCCGCAAGTACGGTTTCATTCCTAAGGCGTACGCGCGGCCTCCTGCCATGACTAGCTTGTGACTCTCGACGAATCTCCCCCGCGCGCATTTTTATACGTATTCCTGTGCAATATAACGTTTTCCTTTACGCGACTTACGTCGGTGCCTTCATTTCCTTATCTCGCCTCACCCTCGCTCATTTCTTGTCCACTCGGACTGCTTTATATCGGACGACCATACATTCTTGGGACAACGATGCTTACAAGATGCGACGAGCACGGACACACCGTGCGGCGACACGCGACAGCGCTTTAGTGTACAATGACATTTACATTGAGACTGGTGCAGCCGGACGTGATGTGGCCGATCAGTCCTTCGTGAAGAACTATACAGTCGCCGGCCAGGAGGACGTCGCGCGGGCATTGGGCGCTTCTGAGGGACGTCACCGGGCCCGTGTACGTCAGCGAACGGAAGCCCCCGTTCTCGATGCTGTCCACGGCCTGTCGTGAAGCGGTCGAGCGTCGTTATTAGCCGCGCACCTTGCGCGGAAGACGCACTCGTACGTCTTCGTCTTGCAGCGAATCGATCGTGCCCGATACCTGGATACTGCATCGAAGCCTGTCCTGGGCCGAAGCGTCGCCCATGTCGAGTCCCGCCACCCAGGCGATGATCACGTCCTTCTCGCACTGGCCTTCTCCGCCGGCGTGCACCTCCTCGCAGCAGGCGTAACGATTGCCGTGCAGGCGCGCGGCCAGCACCGGCAACGGCAGCCGATTCCGATATTTCGGGTTGATCTGATTACCACCGAACAGCCTCGCTGACGAGTCTCTTGTTATTATAGAAATTTGTAGGGTTAATTACGCGCACATACGCGTGTGTCGCGATGCGCGACGCTCTTGACTGGGATTATTACAAGTTTGTGCACTTGCAGAAATATGCCTTCACGAAAACACGCATACACGCATGAAGAAAAGAACTGGTGGATGGGATTTATATGACCATGAACGAATCGAATCTTGATCTTGATTGAAGGAGATTTCTGGTTCTTACGACTGAATTGGGCGCGGAAGAAGCAAGAATCCGGTTCCCTTCCAGCAAGATTCGTCCGATTCGTCCATCGTCGCATCGACTCAGTCTAACTTTTTTCTCCGTACTAGATACAAGACCAATCTTGTCCAAAGAAATCGCTTCGTTTCGTTTTTCATCAAGACCGCACGTCACAAACGCACATCTATACGAAACGTATTCTCTATTCACATGATAAATATTCATGTAGGATGACACTAGCGTGTGATACTAACGAGAGCTTTCCGGAGACTAGTAAGAGAGCCAAGCATCGACTGGAGTCGCACGAGAGAGCTTCGTAGCTGACAACGAGCGTGCTCTCGGCGCCGGGCTCGACGCTGAGAATGGGCACCTCGGGGTGGTCGAAGAGGAAGTGATGGGTGAGCGCCGAGAAGGCGACGTTCACCGAGCAATCCAGACGGGGACAACGTATGGGTCTGCGGGAGTAGTCAACGGACGCCAGGCTTTTGACCTTAATCTCGGCGCTGTATCGATCCGCGTCGTTCCTCCGCGTCGACAGGTCGCAATAGCCGTGCTGCTGTTGGCACTGTCTTCCTCGTACCTCCCGCGGATCGGCTCGCTCGCGATCGACGGCGACGTACGAGACAGCGTCCGATATCGCTTCGTAATCGGGCGTCTCGCTCGCCTCTTCAGGACGACTCATCCTGGCGAAGTTGGCCCACTGGTCGCGACGCGGCTGCGACGAATACACCTGCTGTGGCGCAGGTGGCTGCAGGTACATCGCGATCGGCGAGTCGTACGTTTTCCTGGAGCGTGCGCGACCACGGTCGTTGTTTTGATAGAGACTGCCGTGCGATTTTCGAGGCTGAAGGTATTCCGCGCCTGTGAGGATCGAGCGAGCTTCTTTCGTATGCAACTACTTGAAGAGAGGGTAGATCGATGATGACTAGGATCAATCGGTCCGACGTTGTAATCGATTGTCTTCGCCGATCAATTATTGTCGACGAAGCAATCGGCGGAGATCCGACGGATCTTCGGCGGAACTTCGCGGACGGATTACCGCCGTTATCGCGATTGCTGATGAATGTAATTTATGAGATGACCGCGTTTTATTGACCTGAACGAATCGAAAACTTCCGCACGCAACGCTGACACAACACACAGCCTTCGGTGTTGCGCGGATTTTCCTCGGAATCGACGATGCTGCCGCCGAGGTTCGCGTCGTCGACGATAATGTGGCAGATCGCGCACTCCCCGATCTGCCTGTTCTCCCGAATTCCTTGCTCGTCTTTGTTCTCTCTTTCTTCCGGCTCTTGTTCTTCGCCCTTCTCCTTCCTGCTCCTGTCTATCTCCCGCCGCTCTGTGTCCTCTTCTTCGCTTTGATCCTCATCAATTTCCCGTTCTTCGTCTTCCGTCTCGTCTCCTGCGACCTCGGTAAAGAATTCTTTCCTCTCTTGCGCTCTTTTATCGATATCTGAATATTTCTGACCGAGGTGAAGAAAGTCCGACCCCTAAAATCGCGTGATTTATTTTTTCTTTTACTTAAATAAGAGTCGCCTCATTGAGTCAACACTCTTTCAGATACTCGACAAGCAGAGGAACTTATCAGCATCGGGTATATCAGTTTGATGTGCATCGGTTGCTATCGCTTATCTCGCGTGCGATATTTAATTGAAGTGATTACAACGTTCGGTGGGAACTCGGTTGGAACACGCAAAGTAACTTTTGCATTTAACAAAATTATGAATATAAATAAATATCAGTTTGTGCTAGTAATTATAATTCTCAGCAAGTGCGGGTTTTCCTTTCTACGCGAGTTACCCCGGTCATATCGCATCTGTCAGATCGTAATTGTCGATTAAAAAAATCGCGTCGGATTGCGTCTGCAGGAGAATTGGAAAAGCCGTTGTTCCGCGCAATCCGTTATCAGGTGTTATAAAATTTTGCGACAGTCGCGTCTGCTCTCGTCATCGTCGCTCTCGCAGTCTCGTGCATGCGAGACTCTATCACATGCCTTGCGGTGATTATTTATCGCGTGGCCGTCGTCTCTGGCGACTCTGTAATCGACCCTCTCGCTCTCCGTTTCTTCGCGAAGCATCTCGCCGTTTTGTCAGCAGTTTATCGCCCGGCGCGATAACCTTTCGTCGATGACGCGCGTCTCCGCGATCGACTTATCCTCGCGCGCAACCGTTTACCCTTCGTATAATGCAAGACTGCAGTTTCCGGTATCTGAAACTTAACGAAGCGACAAACACGTGCAATTTTTAATGCACTGTACTTTTTTTATTTCTCCCTCCCTCCCTCACTCCCCCTTCTCTCTCGAACGACAACACGGGTATGAAGATACTTTGATATTTTGTAATATGATTACGACTGACTGTAATAAAGCGTCTAATAAAGCATTCTTCTTTTCCAGGGCAAGAGATTTTTTTTCTGGACATTCGTTGAAAATGACGAATGACTTTGGCGAAAGCGAGAGAAGTCACTGCGCGTTGCCGCGATTTTAGAACCCGCAGCATGTTGCAGCGTTGTTGCCTCTTATAAAACTTAATTTAAAATTCTGTTAAGGTCTCTCCTTTGAGGAACACGATCTTGTTATTTACTTTGGCTTCTCTATATTTTTCTCTATTATTATGCACTTGCGGATTATACTGGAACTTTAACCATTTTATCGAGAAAAGTCTCTGATTCCAACATCGTCAAGGAGTCTGCCGCGAAATTAACACAAGACACCCTGTATAGTAAAGAACGGTTCAGCGGTCAGCTTACCCGTTCCGAAGAGAGAGCCAATCTTCCTTGCTTGAAGATTAAAGCTACGTAGTTAAAAGCAGATATATACCGGCGAGACGAATTTTTTTTATTTCTGTGTTGACTCGCGACGAGAATTATTCGACGGCAGACTGAGAGTCCAATTGACGAGCGTTCGCCTGCGTTCCCGATTCGCTGTAATTTAGTCTGAGGAAATTTACATTCGTCAGCCAGAAAATACTCGATACGCACGGTATTTAGATCAAAAATATGAGGCCATATTGACGTCTCCGGGGACAAACAAGAAACAAGTTACGGAGATATCAGTACAACAACGTTGTAAGAAAATTCCATACCCGGTGCATCGGGTATTAACTTCCTGTAGGCTTCCAAGATCAAGAATTTCAGTTTCAATCGTTAAAGATCTCATCTGATCTGTGGTCATTTTGTATTTAATTCTCTCAAATTACATGGGAATAATAGGTGTACTTTGTATTAATTATTTTTTTTAAGAAAATATCGACTGATCACAATTTTGATCCCTGTATAAATTAACTCGATCTCAACATTATTTATAATTTTAATTATTTTAATACGCAAGTAGATATACACATGGGGGAAAAAAAATATATATATATATTATAATTCATTTTTGCAAGAAAGTAATAAAATTAATTATATAACAGCAACGTATAAATTTCATATTATATTTAATAATATATTAATATATCATCTAATAAATATATATGTATAAAAAATATACATAGCTTAATGAAATAGATTATATAATTAAGTAAACCATTTACCGTTGTGTCGTACTATTTATTTGAATGCAAAGTCTGCCTAATTTATAAATGAATTAGACTACTTGAACAAAATTATGGCAGCCTATCATCGAGTCGTATTACGACCTCGTCTTCGTTAAGGATGGTGGCGACTCATAACGGACACTTCAGAACTTCAAAAATAATTTATCCGGGATTCGAACCTTGTTTAACTGACAGTTTAGCCTGTTATACTTTATTAGTTCCAAAGTCTCTGCTACGAGTCGTCGTTGTCTATTTAACGAAAAATCGAGCTCGCAGTATGACTCGACAAACTAGACATTATTTCTAAATAAGGTAGCACAAAACAGTAATTATTGTATTAATTATTCCATTTGGGAATATGTACTTGGAAATACAAGTATGAACTATCACAGATAGCTTTGCTCATATGAAAAGGTAGTTTTCATATGGAAAAAAAAAAAAAAAGATCCCTAATGTTAGTGTAAAAAAATACACACGGTAAATACTTGTTAAGAAACATGTTTTATTAAAAAAAGCACATATTAAAAGAGATTAGAAAATAGTAAACGACACGACGCCTGCTTAATTATTCGTGGCAGGTGTAATTGTAAATAATCGCGTAGATTTATATGCTCAATCGACCCGTACGTGTGTGAATTTCTTACTGATTGAGTTTGAGAGCTCTTCGAAAATCACGTTCAAGTAAATTTACAAATGAAATATCAATATCTAGTCTGCGAATATTTATACACGCAATCAATTATACGTACGATCGATCAGCCTCGGTGATATACGCATAATGCGTACAACTGGCAATACAACTGCAGAAACTAACTTTACAATGTTTCAACTTTCGTATAACGTTTGAAATTTGTCGCTTAAATTACGTCGTGTAACCTTTACCTGCTACAACCTTTCATACGCGCATGATTTTCCTTAAAGTTATTAACAATTCTCTACTTAGACGCGTCAAACATAAAAAAAATTGTTTATCACAAGAATAACTTATCTTACCCTAACTTGTTCTCTTGTACTTATTTCGTAACAGCGTCCGCTTTTATCTCTGGGTTATTGTTAACCAACTTGTGTCTCACGTATGCTAATCTCTCCGCACTGACCGCTTGTATGTTGCCCAAACGAGAGTTATCCAGCAGCGTCTTCAGGTTCTGTTTACTGTCCAAGTCGATCATGCTGCAACTCTTGCCTCTGATCGCCGACAAGCTGGACGTTCGCCCGAAGAGCGACAATAACGGTAACTCTTTAATACTAGCGGTTTTGACAGCAAACTTTTTGGAAGTTGATCGCCCGCCGAGATGTTGCTCCCTTATTTCGCTGTCCGACGAACCGGAGGACGACATTAGTGAACTCTTCAGCTTTACCGGACTCGAGTTGGCACTGCACGATGCGTTCTTTTGCGGAATACTACAGCTAGATCGTATTGGTGACAACGTGACGTCGTCCTGCGAGCTCGTAGGACGTCGACGGACGCCTTCCGATGAGTGAGCTTTCGCGGGAAGGAACTCGACGTTACGAGAAGCTTGCATGTAAGGTAAACTCGTAAGCTGCCAGTGGCTCTTACCGACTAAATTATCGCTCGTGTTACTACAGTTATCTATGTTTCGTTCTTCGTTTGTGACATTGATGTCAACGTCGCTGGGAATACCAATGTCCCAGTTACTCTGAGATGATCTACCCTTCTGAACGTCGAATTGGGAGATTCGATTTGGCACATATTTCGTCATATCTACACTAGCAGCTTTCTCCGTGATTATCCTATGCCCGAAATTGGACGTTCTTCTGTTCACTGGGCTACTGCTTAGTGACTTGGAGGTATTGCTTTTCGAAACGGCTTTCGACGCAGGACTGCGTAGTGTCGTCATGGAGTTGGTTGTCGAGAACGATCTCTGCAGACGTGACGATCCGTCGATGAATGTCTCGTTCTTCAGAATCGCCGGATCTCTTGCCGATCGCGCAAGTTGCTTCAAATCGTGCGCGTTCGATTGTTCCATGGATAAGAAGCCGTAACATTCTCCGCTTACAGCAGTTCGGCCGTTCGGTAGGTCGGCAGAATTAATCACTCGCTCCTTCACGTACAATGTATTCTCGAGTGATAAACGATTCAGTTTCTCCATGCTAGCTTGCAGCTCCAACTCCCACTGGGTAAACTTGCTCTCGCTGCCGTCCACAGATCTCTTGTCGAGTTTCTCCGTGTCTTCCTTCGTTGAACAAGGCTTCTGAAAAATTTCAAATGGATAATAGCGCTTTGTAATTGCGACTCTTTGCACTATAAGCGTGGCGATTATGAAATCGAGCTTGAGTGGGCATGAAGTGAGAGTCAAAAGCGAAGTGATGTAGTGTAGTTAGATAGTTAGAAAGAAATTCTCATGATATTTCTACTTGGAATGAAACAGCATTGATTACTCATGACATTGATCGTTCAGAAACATTCATGCTGAAGCGATTGTTAAACCGACAAGCATGTTAGAGAAAGAAAAAACGGCTATTAGTGTGACTATTACACTACAAGTTAGCATTTTACTAACTTCGATATTGCGTAGATTTTCGTTGTTTCCGCTTTCATTATACCTAATTGAAGATATTTTACGACTGTCGGAAGCACTATACTCATTTTCACGCTTCTGATACGTGTCGGAGCCGATCAACTCGGCGCCAACACCAGGTTCTCGCGGTCCATTAACCACGATATCTAAAATATAAATGTTACGTGTCAAAAACGAAGGAGTATGCAAGCGCAGTTTCCGGGACTGTTGTACATCTCCAGTAAAGTATGTCTCCAATTACCGTAATCTCTTCGTTGCTGATGTATTTGGTTACTGATTTCCTCTAATGTCCGAAGACTCGTTGCGTAGTTGCGCTTGGCTTCCTTAACGGTTTGTTGCAGATGCTCTACTCTCTCTTTCTGCGTCGCTAGCATCTGATCGCACTGCGCCTTCACCTCGAAATACGGCCTTGCTTTTATTATCGAGCGTCGATGTTTCTCTTCCAATTGCAGCAGCTTCTTTTCGGCGTCGTGAAACAGCATTGCTCTCCTATGATGTTCTCGGCCGCATTCGGCTTTTTGATTCTCCGCGTCCATCACCTAGATAAGATATTACTTTGCTATTTCCTTATCACAAGGGATCTTTATCACAGGGATCAACCGTTGCTAAATTAACTGACATAAAATATGATTAAATCGATACGCGGGTAAAAATGCAAATAAAGAAAACGTGAGCGATATCAAAATATTTTCTATTGTAATTCCAAGCGCTTTATCAATTCAAAGAGAATTGTTATTGAACACGTTACGCGATAACCATGCGTACGCGCGCCGTACGTTCTACTCTGGTGCTTACTTTAATAGTAGCATGATTGAGCATATCCTGCCATGCTTGGTCGAAATTCCACTCATGTTGGTGCGACATGAATCGCGCTTCGGCCAGAGCGACCGTTTCCTTCGCGGCCGCGTGAATTTCGCTGGCTCGTTGAAATAGCTGTGCCTGTTGCTGACATTGCACCTGTGAATTGCATGAGAATGTGCATTGTTCAGTAACAACTCATGCAGTTGCAACCACAACCGAGTAATGCCAAATAATTACATTTAATTGATATAACAAAACACATTCATCAGCAACCAAGAGTAAAATATCATCTTCTGATAACGATGAATGGATAAAAAGTTATTTTGATGAATACATATTTGCATAGTATTTTTCATACAAGAAATTTTATATGTCCCAATATCTTCAATTTATTATTGTGTAAGAGATGTTTATCATCAAATTGAACTCTCAGGTTTAAGTAAGTTTCTACCTGAGCTTGACGAGCCATTTCTAGTGCTTCATAATAACATCTTGCCTTCTCAATACAACTAGTGCCCAACTTATCAGTTATTTCTTTCAGTCGCCTTGTTGTGTCAGAAAGAAGCTGCCTAAAAGCAGTATGAGCTTCCTAAAAATGAAATATGATTAAATTACATTGTAAAATATGCTTTATTCAAGCATACTGTTTTTCTATACAAATTATGTATATTTGTGTCTTACATCCAATTCAGTTTCCAGCTTATTAATATCATCTGTTGCATTGTTCAAGTTCTCCAATTCAATCTAAAATATATATAAGTTTATTCTTTAACTCTCATGTGTATTATTTATATTTTGTATATTTCTTTATATATGTACTTCACATACAATCACGAGCAATTTATAACAGATAAAATTTTATCATTAGCGAAAGATTATTCTTGGAATCTTTTCGGTTAGAAATGGCATTCTATACCTGAATCATTATCATATGCCAATCATATCATGTGCCCATACTCAACTTAATCTAAGGAATGTTATCTCGCAAGAAAGAGAGAGAGAGAGAGAGAGAGAGAGAAAGAGAGAGAGAGAGAGAGAGAGAGAGTGAATCACTATATTTCCTTTCTTCAGTCACGTCATGAAATATTTAAAAAAGAAAAATGTCCATTGAAACACAAACAATATAAATCAAGACAAAATCAACAACAATTAAACAACTTCATGATCTTCCATTTGAAACGTGACGTGTCAAAGTATGAAAAACAAAGAGAATACTGTCTGGTTACACGTGTACCACGCAAATGTTGCATTAGATCACCTCTCTGCATGATACAACAGCTCAACGCCTGAGCAACGGCGCGATCAATGATCTCTCATGATCTCCGAGCGCATCTCATTCTTACACGCGCTCAGGAAGGAAAGTGAAAGCAAAGTGGGACAGTGTACCAGGCGGTGTTAGGCACTGTGGCCGTTCGTCGAACGGCGAGTAACATAACCTAAAGACGAGGGCGGAAAACCCGCGCGCGAATGCCCGACGAAGGCTTACTTTTCCGCGACCCAACGAGAGAAGATCCGGAGAAAAAGAAAGGACGCGCAATTAAGTCACCTGTATACGCGGGTCCAGCGCATTCTCGGCGTCCTCCGCGACGTCCATCCTTCGGCTGATGCGGCGTTCACTGCGCCGTCAAGCGATGTCAACTCATGATCGCCGTCGTCCCAGCGCGGATGTGAATCCTCGCAAGACCTCACGCCACTTCCTAGTGCATCCTCAAGCGTAACGATGCGCAACTGCAACACTGCCAGTGTTTACGTCTCGGGACATTTCGAGTCCCTCCTCGAAATTCTATTTAGAGCACACGAGCGACAAACATAGCTTCGCAGCGACGATCCCGAGGCTCTCGCGCGAGAGGGTGAAGAGAGCAAAGGCAGCAAGGACGACTGACAACAGCTCGCGCGTAACGAAACTATCTACGGAGATAAGTGTCGCCGACTAGATCGCTGACGCATCTCGATGATGCGTCTACACCCGCATCGCCGGCTATTGCGACGCCCTCCCCCATTGGACTGGCCCCCAGTCTTTCCGATAGAACCGCGAACAGGTTGGCCATTGCGCGACGCCGCTCCGGCGGCTCGTTCGAATCTGCCGCGTACCGAAGTGCGACGTCGCGTGTTCTCTCGATCGGTAATCTCGCACCTCGATTATCGTCCGAGTTCAAACTCGTCGACAAGTTCAGCTGATTCGAATGGCTCGACCAAACCGTATCCATGTTCTCGCTACGTGCGGTTCGTCGCACGACGGTAAGTTGTCTTGGCAAGCATATGAGACGATTGAGCGGAATATCACGCGTCTGGGAGCTTTATTTTGCGAGACTCGCGTTTATTTGAAAGATGCGCTTGGTTAGCAGTTACAGTCCATTTGCGCGTGTAACCGGCGGGACGACATCGCAGCGGGCGCAGCGTGAGGTTGTACCTCGGCATTTTCTAATTCCACACATTCGTTTGTGGATATTAAGGTGAAGCTATCATGATGACATTCTTCTTCGTTGAATAATCAATAAATAATCAATTACGCGTATATGTGGTATTGTTAATGCGCGTTGGTGGAAAGTTTTTATAACCTAGTTACACCGTGTATCAAGTTGCGCTTGGTGGTGGTGAATTTTTGGGATATCCTTCGTCATCATGATACATTAATGAACTGTGGGCGATTTCTAATATCTGGAAGATTCATTGTGAATTAAAGCACCTCTCCTCGCATTAAATTGTCTTATGCTCGAAAATATAGATGCGAGCGCCATCTAGCACGAAACTCGCGCATTAACGACCACAGCGAATACGTAGGTACGCACGACGAGGCAGCCAGTGACCAACAAACATGGCGATTGCCAAGTAACAGTTCATCGCGGTGAGTCACAGAAGCCATGCACGTAAAGCAGCCTAATTGACAGTAGAAGTAGAGCTCAATTGTCACGTATCTGGCCTGATTGGCGGTCGCACAACCGTAAGAAGCTGGCCGTTAGTCGATCGTCGCCCGTCGAGCATTGTTTCCGCGTCGCGGGATCTGTATCTCCACTCGGAGATAACTGTTATCCAACATCGTAGCCTCTTCTAATTTCCGCCTTTTTCTACTTTAACGCTAAGAGTGGAACATTCGCGAGCAGTTTCGTGTGAGAGTCCGTGCGGTCGAGTGTTCGAAGCGACTCGTTAAATCGCATCTGAACTTTACATTATTGAAGAATGTTGAATATGTGTACACACACATTATATTGCAACATTCACAGTATCCTCTTCGTGGCGTTATTGCACTGAATAATATGTGACATTGTGGCAGACCAAGTGTACCTCTGTGAACTGAGTTAAATGAACTTGGTGTTATACGGCTGAACTGTGTTTTCAGAGTAAGAGTCCGCTGTACCAAAAATGCCTACACAGATGACAGAGAACGATGACATTCGAGTGAAAATCATATACAATGGGTAATTCACTTGCTAATCAACTTGACTGTTACGATTTACAAAGCCATAATCTCAGTAGTATATTTGTTCTCACATTTGTCTCTGATCAAAAGAATAACACTCGATATTTCATATCGCTGTATGACATATTGAGGATTATCATATATTCATATATTTGGGATTATCTTTTATGCTTATTCTTTAGCAATTGAATCGTATCAATGTTGAATACAATATCTGACAATAAATCTGATATAATATTGTGCAAATGCTTAAAAACATAGTTTAATAGGAAGATCAGTCAAGCTTGCCAGATACAGCAAATTGACTGTGCGTAATGTGACTTCCTCACAACCGATAACTTTCATAATTTTCTCACATTAGGGAGGTGCAAATCACATACATCACCGCTGGAATCTCAGTGGACACATTGCGCGAGGAGATGCGGACAATATGCGGCTTTGACATGCGGCCAGAGTCACAGTTCACTATGAAGTGGGTGGACGACGAAGGTGATCCATGCAGAATCGCCTCCCAACAGGAACTGGACGAAGCACTGAGGCTGTACGAGCTCGAGAAGGATACAGAAATAACGATACACGGTTAGTACGTTATTCATAGGCTAACATAGAAGTCGACCTCATAGCTGTCTTGTCTATCGTTTGGATTCATGGTGATGCAACGATGCATTAATCATTTGAAGACTACGCGTTGCGTTGGTAAATTCCTTGCATGTTAGACGCTTACATAATCAAAAGTGTCATATCGTGCTCATGGACGTGCATGCGACGATGGTGATTGCGACGTTGGTTCGACAAGCGGTGGCGTACGCAATGAATTAATTAATTCCCGTGAGCTAACGCTAACGTGCATCCGATCGATCCTCGGAGCGTTTAGTTGATCGCGCCGCCGCATCGATTAAAGATCATCTACATGCTCCGTCGAGGTGAGAACGTATGAAACGAGCATCGAATGCACCCATAACAGTCGCGCATGCGGTTAACATACAATTAACGATAATACACCAGCGTGTTACGCGCTTCTTTATGTGATCACGATGCGCCGATATACGCCTTGAGTAACGATGCATCGGCGTATCGCTGTACGCAGCGATGCTCAACTTATCGGTAGTTTATCGGTGATACGAGTCGTTGCTTATCAGCGTCATCGTATCGAGTTCCGCGCGAAATACCTTCGTGGAAAGCTGACCCCGTTGTTTATTACCGATAATGCACACTGGCTGATCTATCAATCGCGACGCCACGAGAGATGATGACATTCTTTCAGATCGCTCGCGCGCGGGCGCAGGTTTGTATTCACGAGTATTCCCCGGTCACACACATACGGAACGTGACGTGCTTAGGGATTCGTCTAGCCCGAGATATGCACTGGAGATACAACTCTATATAGGTTTCATTTGCGTGACAGTAGGATACTTCTTAGACGATAGATCTTGTTGCGTTCGTGCGTTTCCCATTTTCGGCCCGAAAGGTTTGACTCTCACGCTTTCGTCGTCTGCTCCTCTTTGAGCGGCAAAGATCGAAGTTCTGAAAGAGATAGGTGTAGGAGTTCATCGTGTTTTCCGGCTCTCGAACAATCGGGAGGGGGGTATAAATTTCATATTGAGAAATTGTAATTCGACATTCGACAGCGAAGGATTAATAAACGCAACGATCTCATCGTGAGCAGCATCGATCATCGAGGAATATCGATCACGTACGGCGAATTAAGAAGACACTTGGACAAGATAAGTTTCGCGCCTTGTCGAGGGCACTCTGGCTCAAAGAGGTGGAGACCTTTACGTGGAATGTATCGTTCTCTCATCGCTTTTATTAAATGCGACGATTGCACTTTTTCTCTGAGGACTTTGACGAGATTCCACTCCGAAAATCAATGACGATCTTGTAACGGAGATCAACGGAAGAGGCGCGACGCGGCTGGCTGTACCCGATATGTGGAGTGAAGCATCACCGCGCAATAGTCGACAGTGGAATCGATGCACGTAACGCGTCGCAGCTTTGTGTGCCTACACAATCGCACACGTGTGTTCGACATCAGCTGCAGCTGCGGCTGTGATAAACAACAGTGATACTGCGTGTCGCAAGGAAGGAACAAGGGAGGATCAACGTCGCCAAGGCGATGATGAGTCGAGGAAGGGCTTTTCGTGAAACTCGACGAGAGAAATGGAAGAAAAATTGGTAGAAAATAAAGTGGCACTGTGAACGGAGTCGCGCCATTCTGGGACGAAATTATCCGTAGGACTTGCCGCGGGAACGGAATACCCTTTGACAGAAGAGAAATCGAGTTAACGAGAAAAGCGCGGGCGCCGGGTAACGCAATATAAGTCGGCAAAGCAAAGTTAGCGCGAAGACGGGGGCGAGATCAGGAAGAAGAATCGCTGGATGATCAGTGCTGAAACTGCAAAAGCATAAGAAAAAGGAGAAAAACGGGGCGAAAAGAAGGATGGACGAGGCTGTGAACAGAGGTAGAGAGCTTGGGAGAAGCAGAGAGCCTGTGGGTGGATACAGGCGGGACATAGGACCGGTCGACGGCGTGGGGACGACGAAGGACGGTATATCGCTTCCACCTCGATGTGATCCGCGTTTGCGCGATTCGGTCGGTAGCGCGCGCCGGGCGGCGACGGCGGCGCAACGGTGGAGGCGGTGGTGGCGGCGGCGGCGGCGGTTAACGCATCTCACCGCGGTAGTCGATATCCTTGCACGGGCCGATCAGCAAGGGCAACAACGTCACGTCACGTCGCACCTCACTGTCGCGCCTGGTCGTCCCGTGAGAACGCGATTCGGGTTGTTTCGCCGAGGTCGACGGAGGAAGTGTCGATCGCGGACGAGAGGGAAGTTGTGCCGGAAGAGACCCGGTTACCGGAGAAAAAGAGCGAGGAAGAGAGAGAAAGAGAGCGAGAGAGAGAGAGAGAGAGAGTACACTTATAAAGAGAAAGAGAGAAAGAGAAAGACTGAGAGGAAGAGAGAGAAAACGAGACTTTCCTCAACACGGACCTTCGACAGGTCGTTAGCTGCGAAGGAGTTGCGTCATCATGTCGGTAGACAAGTAGTAGTATTCGCGATAGTCGTCGGCGCGCTTGGCTCGACGCTCGGCGAGTAGAGAGAGGTCGCAAAAGAGGCGGTAAACTAGCATCGATCGAGCTGGTGATTCGTCGTCGCATGCTCATCCCGGCTCCTGCAAGAGGTCGACCGCGGTGGTGAAGGAGTCCAAGAGAGAGAGAGAGAGAGAGAGAGAGAGAGAGAGAAAGAAAGCGCGAGGAGACAAGGGAGAAAGAAAGAGGGCAAGGCGCACAAGCCGACGGAAGAGAGACGGGGTAGAGACGGCGAACGGTGGGGCAGGAAATCGGTAGGGAGAAAGAGAGAGAGAGAGAGAGAGAGAGAGAGAGAGAGAGAGAGGGAGAGAGAGAGAAAGAGAGAGAGAGAGAGAGCGAAAACAGAGAGGCTAGGCGCGGCGCGGCGAGGCGAGGCGAGGCGAGGCAAGGCGAGGTGATCTCGCGCGGGTGGAGCGATAAAGGATACACACATCGGTGCGATAGAGGTAGGCGAGGCAAGCACGGCTAAATTCGCTGCTACAGAATGGCGTGGG